ACCTGGAAATTTTTGTTTGGGGTATACGCTCATCCAATGTATTTATTACCTCCGACCGCAAAGTTACAAAGAACGTCCTTCCCATTTCGACAGTCTGAAAATGGATGAAATCCAGTTGCAGGACCTCATTCAGAATTGTAAACATCTGAAATATAAGTTTTTTGGAGTATTTGCAGCCGACAATTTTCCACCTCACATCCCAAACAATATCTTTATGATTGTGAACACTTCAAAATCAGATTCTCCGGGGACACATTGGATTGTGATATGCAACAGAAGAAATGTTTTTTACTTCGCTGATCCTCTCGGTCTTCCTCTTTGGCAGTACACCAATCTGTATAAACGATTGAACGAGAATTTTCATCAGGTGAGAGAATTGATGCCAAACTTTCCCATGCAAGACTCAAACTCTACCATGTGCGGTTCTTTTTGTATTTATATTGCACATTTGATTTTTGATAAAATTTTTAATGGTGATGCTTCTGATTTTGTTTACATAACTGATCATGTTTTGAAACGTTTCCTAACTCACATGCTTACCCATTAACTAACCATTTAATATGGTTGATTTATACATTTTACAATTTAATTTTGAACAATACATTCTTTCAGTAATTGAAATTTTACCCAATTGTTAACTGAATAGCAGTAATTCGAGAAATTAAGCTTTTTATCAAAGTGAGAAAAAAAGTACAAAATCGATCTATGGGGGGATATCACCATACCAGCAACTGTTGCCTCCTTTCAGTACAATTTCCGGACGGGTTTCGAAACGACGCCTTTCGGCTGAGAGTCGAGCGCCATGCGTTTTCCTCTACTCGGACCCCAAGAAATTTTGTATCACTTCAATTTTATAGTAACAAGTTAGGTACAAGTCTTAGAAATGGTTGCAGCAAAATTAATGGGCACTTTTGGCTTTCATCAGTGTTCTCGTTTTTCAAGATCTTTAGCCACTTCAATCTTTTAGCTCTTTCAATCTTTCTATAAAATCAAAGCTTTTGTCATAGATTTCAGACGTTTTTTTTAGTCTCCTGTAGACACGGAAAATGGAAATGTCGAAATTTTCAAGTCAATTTCATTATTTTAGAGTTTTCAGTGTTTCGTAATTTTTCCTTATTTTTTAGCTTTATTTGGCTTAAAGTAATTTTTCATTCTTATTTTGGTCAAATTGATTATTAATTTTTGCCTAAATAGAGGTGGCGGCCGCCGCACTTGACGAATTTTCCTTTCTTCGAGATTCAGCAATAAAACATGCGTTTTTGAAGGAAATCGTTCACCGCAGGCAACAGTTAAGCTACGCTGCCAAAATCTTGTGCTTTCCTATATACCATATAGTTTGGTCGCATATAATAGGTATATAACGTCATTTTACATGTAAACAAACCAATACCCCCAAACTCTAGAAGGGAAAACATGCACCGACCAAAACTTAATCCGTTCCTGTTTCCACAACGTTCAGTGGGAATACTAAATAATATACCGAAGTTTTACATGAGGACTATTAGGTATAAAATTATACATGGTGACAATTAGGATTATTACATAGTGACCATTGGGTATAAAATTATACATGGTGACAATTAGGATTATTACATGGTGACCATTGCTGATCATTTAATACATGGTGACCATTATGATTTATACCTAATGGTCATCCATGTATGACAACCCCCCCCCCCCGATCCTAACGCACTATATGCATACTACTCAATATAATTGATTATAATTCATTAAAATTTCACTAAAAATGTTGTCATTAAAAGGAATCATAAATCGTTTAAATATCTAAAATTTGCGCTTGTAATTATATATAATTTTGCTAAAAGTACCCTTATAATTATAAAATAATCGATTCTTTTCTATTTTCACTGAGTGTGGAATGCGTAAGCAAAATGAATTGAGGGAAAAAAATTGGTTTTAAGAATAGAACAGACGGGTGATATAAGTTTTTGTAGTTCACATTAGCGTGTGGGGAAATAAATTGAATAAATAAAACAATAACAAAAACAACTCTTTTAAAAAATTTTTCATAGATTGTTTTCAACGGAAAACAATTTAATTTGCCTTATAAGGCAGACAGAGAATTCAGGGCTTTGCTTTGATACAAGAGCAGTCTTGTTATTGTTTTTGAATAATTTAAATAGTCAGACTCTCACAAACAAAACTTGAAGAAAACTACTCACCAAATGATTTCTTTTTCCCCCAAGAAAACTCTAAACGCTTGCCTCGAGACTTTTATGATGCTAAATGCTCCAACCATAGAAAGTAAAATTGTATTCGGATGTTTTTTTTATTTCATTTTTGTGAGTCAGGTGTAACCAAACATTTTATCACAAAATGTTTTTTTTCAATTCAATTGATATTTTTTTAACAATATTAATCATATTCCTCAGCTTTGAGTTAGAAGATTTTGAAGAATGAAAATCACGTTTACTTTGATTCTGTTTGAGCTTAAGAAAAACGGAACAAATTGACATCCTTCCTCAAACACCCCTCAAGCATTTTTTTGGAGGATGTTAACTTGGATCAAAATTCCAGCCATTCAGAATCAAGCAGTAAAATCAGATTCCCTAGAAAAATATTTGAAAAGTGTGGTATATACACTTCTTAAGGAAGGATGCTAGATACTCGCTGATGACTGGTGTACACTTTTTATTCAGTCTTTTAGACATACAGTCATGACCAGCAACTTGTTTTCTAATTTTAACAGATTTTTTTTTGGCAAATGTCCGATTTACATACTTGCTTTAATTTGAAAAAAAAATTGTTTATAAAATGATAGCCTTGTTCAAAAGTGCAGTTAAAACTGATCAGTCCAACTGTCTGCCAATTAGTCTTCGATTAACAATAACCTGGGTTGACCAAAAGTTCTTATTATACAATTTTCATTTAGACAGAACCCTTATCTTAGAAATTTGTCTATTTTCATTTAGACAAATTTCTAAGATAAATTTTGTACCATATACAAAAATTGTGTGACAAGACTTTTTATATAAACCAATAAGTTTTTTTTTCAATTTAAATTTCAGAAAATTTTTGGGTTGTGTTCGTAATTGAACACAATGGACGAAGAGCTTGGTTTACTCAATTCGAGAGTCACCAGAACTTGGACGGTCTTGCATCTACAATGCATAGAGAATGACTTGAAAAGTCTCAAGGGTGGTTGTCTTACACAAATGTCATAAAAAAATTAACAAACTTTGAAGTGTTTGCAGAATTTTTAAACAATGAATTTTTTTTCAAAATTTAAATTAATCGGGTAATTACCAACGCATAAAAAACTTGCCAAAGTTAACAAATAGACGTTTTGAGAGTTTTTTTTAAAAGGAGAAATATTAAAGTTCGTTTATCCAAGACTAAGTTTTGCACACAACAAAAAAACTTGGCATGCCAAGGTTCAAAATTTGTTGCTATCAAATTCTTCGAGGCTATTAACACTAACTGCCTGCCATGTCTGCCATTTTCAGATTCATTCTTAGTTTTCTGAGAAATTTTATGACCAGAAAATTTAAAGAAAAAAGCTCTTCATTCTATTTTTTTTCTGGAAAAAGTATGCTAAATTTTTTATACACTTGATTTATTGAATTGTATGATGAACATTTTTGAATTTTGTTGTTTGGAATTGTATCCTAAGCATTTTTGATGTTTGGTGGTCAACCCGGTAAGAAAAACGTTGGAGAGAATGATTTAACAGCGAAAGCTTTAAATATTTAAAAACATGATATTTTGCTTGAACAGTTAGGGTTCAGGAAAAGGCATTTTTGTGCTCGTCCAATGACAAGAATCACAAAAAATTTGCAAAAGTTTCTAGGGAAAACAACGTGCTACCCTGAATTATTTCCGCGAAGCACTAGACAATGTCAATCTTTTTGCAATCAAAACCTGAAATTTCTGTTTTTCGGGGTAATAGTTTCTTCTTGGGAGTAGTTATTTGACAGACAGAAAACAGTATGTAGCATAAACTCAAGGTAAAAAATATATCCTCAAAATGAGTTCTTGTGTACCACAAGGGCCTTTGTTTTGTCTACTTGACTTTAGTACCATTAATGCCAGCGCCCGAGAGAGTAAAATTAGCTCATTTGCCGACGATACCGCTCTAGTAGCGTCTCTCAATAAAACGATAGAAATCGAAATGTTTCGAATGACGTTCGACTCTTGTGTGATTGGGACTCGATTCAAATAAACGTAGAATTTTGAGTTTTACCAAACGTATGAGGTTTGCTGTATTTGTTTTGAGTGAGTCTAAAATTACGCCTTTTGATAGTTACAAGTATCTAGGAGTTTTTAGCTACTCGAAGCCTAAATCCAAAGAGCATTTAGACTCTGTTTGCGAAAAATTAGCTTGATGTAAATGTATAGTTAATAATAACGTAAATAGTTTTTCACAAATTTTACACAACGTTCGTTGCACCAGTTATTTAATTCATATGGACTGCATGTTTTTTAATGTACCAAGAAACGAAATTTTCATCGATTTTTTATAGCCAAACAAAACCAGATCCTCCGAACAATTTATCTGAAAACAAATTTGACCATATCACGATGTGTTTTGCAGATAATAGCTTTAGCTGTGTACGATTTTTTTCTAGATCAATTGCTTAGTGGAACAATTTTGAACTTTTTGCAAAAATTCCGATCAAATTTTTAGAGTCGAACGAATTTTTTTAAATAAACAATATCAACAACGTTTTTTGTTTAAGTCTTGAAACTAAACTGTTTCACTGATAGTTCAGAGTTGATTGATATGTTCATTTGACTATAACGGTTAAAAGACATGTGTCTTATCGAAAAACCATTTCATTTTATTTGTGATAATTTCAAGTTGGGTTTTTAACTACATGTTGGGCTGTTAAAGCCTGTATAGAGGCCCAGATATAATTTATATGTACGTAAGGTGTGTGACAATGAACTGCAGTTTATATTTCAATATCAAAATAATCTCGTGTGATATACTGATTTGTACTGAAGTAGTTTGATAGAATTTCGATATCAGATGTAGTACATCCGAAAGTAAAGTTCATTGGTTCAAATCGCCAAGTTCATTGCTTCAAAACTTGTCATCATATTAATCCAAGCCAAGTGTTGGAATTTACTGAGGTTTGGAGTCAAACCGCTTCTGGGCTACTTTACTTGACTTAGTTTGTTTCTGACCAATAACAACTGATATCTCTCAGACACATCAAACTGAGGCCTTTCCATTATGGCTTGTGACCGCAAAAGGTCCATCAAATTTATCAAGGAGAGCCTTCATTTTTCAACAGAGGAGGTCCAAGTTCTGGAAAAAGATAAAAAAGAGTTTTTGTACATCTTTGTGCGGAATTTTTACGAAAATGAGCCGTTCACTAATTTTAATAGTCATTACTGGAATGTGGTAAGTAGAAATGTTTTAAATTAGTTTTCATCAAAATTAAATGATTCAAATCGAATAGTAGCCATTTTGTTCAGAGCATTTTTAAGGTTTTCATGCTTAATTAAAGGTGCTTAATTAAAGTTTGCCCGACTGCATATTTTTTTAGAAACCGGTGGTCGATGACAGACGCCTAAAGAAACAATTGCCATCGCAAATTGAATTAAGTACTATCCAAAGAAAAATTACAGATTATGCGTCACTCAAACTGCAAAAGCAGACAAAACTCGCTGGTTGCAGTGAAATTTTTTTTTCATTCGAATACCCGTTTATCGATCGGCAAACGTTTAAAATCTTCGCACGAACGTCAGTGCTGGGGGCTTTTTTTATAATAGTACTTTTTCATATTAACTCACTCTGGTATGTGGGAAAAAGCGAAACGGACTATGCTTAGACAAGCTGGATCGCAGAAACCACAATTATAATAGTAGGCTCAAAAAATGACTTTGCTTTTAGTTGAAATCCAGAGGCGACGTTGATAAATCAGCCAGCACTATTACATTCGAGACAGTTTTGAATCTTCTGGAGAAGAACGTCGGCGGCGCTTGTTTCACCGCCGCATTCGGGGCTCAGATATTTCTGACGCACCTCGGATTTGACTGCTATGTCACACACACCTTCATTGAAAACCGACCTGGCTTCCAAATTCTCCATTTCCTTTTAGTCGTCAAGGACTTGGAGAAAGAAGGAGACCTCCATTTGATTGATTTTGGAACACGACTCTCGCCTCTAAATCAGCCCATTCCACTGCACCTCTTAGCCGAAGAAGGTCAAGAGTCTGAGAAATATGAGTCATTTTACATGTATAACAAGTTCGTCCGACGAGGAGATGATATTTTTCGGCTAACTGGGAAAATCGGCTCAAACTCGGATCCGTTTTTCTTCTACGGGATTAAAGCTGTGCCAGCGCGATGTGGATCGATTTCAGACGACGGCGTCAATTTGAACTTCGAAAAGTTTCCGAAGGCCGACAAACCAAAATTGAGCGAGTCGGAAAGAAGCGAGGCTGCGAAAAAGGCGGGAAGGTTCTGGTTCTCGCAATTTCACGTAGTCGGATTCCCCGAAGGAAAAGTATGTGTGTTCAGAAACACAGAATGGATGCATCAAGATGAATTGAATGGTGAAATTAAAAGAGTGATTATTGACAACAAAGACGAATATATTGATAAACTAGCTCAATGTTACCCCAGCTACGAGCGGGAGATAATCGAGTCGACAATCAATTCCATCTGGGACGGTGTGATTCAACCAAGGGCATAACAAAAGTGAACTAGCAATTTTGTTCAAAATGAAATAATGAGAGAAAATACTGTTTTCAATTAGGATGATGGATGAGGGATGATTCCGCTGTGAAAACTTTGGTCCATAAATGAATCTAGCTCGATATTATTTTCCAATCCCACGACTTTTTTTTCGAAGATCGGACATCTGTTTTTGACTGTTACGAAACTCTCGCAGCTTCGAAAAAATCACCCTAAATTTTTCGAGCTAATAGAAATCTAAGATGGTTAATTACTCGATAAAGTAAAATCATTTCAGAAGTCTCGTAAATTTCAACTCGCTGTGTCAGGAAAATGAGAAACAATCAACAAGCTTTCAATTTTATTTTTAAAACTAATCTTTGCTAAACTGTTCTATTCTAATATGTTTTTTTACTCTGAAATTCAGCAAAGACAGAATGGTTGAACTGACTAGAAACTAGACTTGCTTTAAGCATAAAAACTTTTGCCTAACATTTCACCTTATAAAATCTCTAATAAGGCATTTGTATGACTAGCTAGCACTTTTTTCAAACTTTTTTTTCATTATTTCCGCAAAAAGAATACTGACTTAACATAGCTTTTTGTTAAATCGAACATCTAAATTGACACATTGTAATCCATTTATGTAATTTACTAAAATTAAATTGGGAAATAAATTTTAAGACTGAAAACAACGTGTAAAAAGACATGAAGTCAAATCTCGGAGCAAACGATTTCAAACTATGTGCAAACGACTTTCCAAAATCCTTCTGGGTTTTTCTTATTGATAAGAGCTCGAAACCCCTCTAATTGCTGGTCAAAACAGTACTAAGATTCTATGAGTTTCCGATTAAGTAACTTGGTTAACGTTTCTGTAGGTTTTGGACCTATTTACATAACTAAATTGTTTGGAACATTCGGCGGAAAGACCTCGCCTTTAAATGACAAAGGAACTGCTAACACCGTGTTGAGTTTGATAGTAACCCCTTGTAAAATTAGGATTACAGTTTTTTCTAGTTTTTTGTCACGGCTACAGCCAAGGCTGGGATACATTTTAAAAAATTTATTGTTTTCCAAAAATTTTCCCTCCCTTTCTGTATTAAATTTGTGAAAATCGGGTCAAATAATTTTTAAAAGAACTGAAAATTTTGATCTTTGGCATATGCAAATTGTGGACCCATATGCCTCATTTGTGGGCGCATGATTTTACGCGCTATACTATCGGGTTTAAGTTTAAAAAAATGCATACACTCTTTTGATTGGATAAATTTTCTGTTTCTTTTTGTTTCAGGTCCCCTGGCTTTCTTCAGTTTTTAAAACAAAATACACTACGTATGGAAATGATTTTTGCAACTAGGTTTGTAATGAGATGTGTGCTGATAGCCAAAGTTTCTGTGCTGGGGTGCCCAGATATACATTCGACAAGGACTATTTTTGCCCCGGGTATATGTTCCACTTGAAAATTTGATAAGATTAATTAGAAAACTACCTTCTACTTGATTAAATCTGGTTTTAACGGTATTGTTGTTCCCGTTTAATGGAAATACTAGAGTTCTGAGACCAGTTTTTAAGTAGAACTTCCGACTAAAATAATAATTTCAAAAAAAAATTCTGCCACCATTCGTCTGGTATCAATTCCAGTTTGTATGTAGAGTTTTTTTCTGCTTATAGTTTAGAAAGCATGACGCAAACGATATTAGAGTCTTTCAAGGCGTCAGTTCGACTACGTTCACTACGTCCTCTAGGTTCTCAAACACTCCTGTGTTTGACACTCCTATTCGCTGTTCTTTTTATAAAACGATCGCAGTGGCGCTGACGTTTCTGCTAGCGTTGGGACATGTTTGCGGAGAATATATATTGACATTACGTAAAATTTGGGTTAGGATAAAATGCATGGTATCTCTAACAAATTAATCGGTGACGTTACTCCGGTAGCACTCTATTCTTGCATTTGTATATTTTGTATTTTAAGCATCAATCCGATTCACAAGGAATTCTCTCGACAATTGATATGTGATTGACTCCGTTGCTTTTTGTGACATTAAGTTGTTGTCAATGAACGCGCGTGTTTGTGGAAATTCGGATTAAACTGATTTCCCGGGTTGACCAAAACTTCTTATCATACAATTTCCATATGAAAAATTTCTTACCATACAATTCCATACGCACAGAAACTTGTATGAAGTCTCTATGACAAGCATTTTTCCGTATATGAAAATTGTATGATAAATATTTTTCCATAAACCGAAAAATTGATTTTTTTTCTAAATTTACTTTCTAGGTGGTTTTCGTAACCGAATGCAAGCGACAAAGACCTAGGCTTACCCAAAGCACCAAAGGGTTGACGGTATTTAAAATGCATAGAAAACGAACTGAGTAGTCTTAGAGCTGTCTTTCACAAATGATATAATGAAAGCTACACACTTTTAAATTTTGGCAAAAAATTTTAACAACTTTTTAAAGTTCGAACTTTTAAATTATCAGAATGATCAAGACATACATAAACATGCCATTCAAAAGAAATAAGACGTTTCAGCGTTTTTGAAATTTTTTTTAATCGAATAGGAAAAAATTGCAACATTAGACAATCCAGGACGACGTTATATTATGCACACAAAAACTAAATTTTGAATGTTAAAATATTTTTTGGAAAGTGTTTGTATGAGTATAAAAATCGATTTGCGGTTAAAAAAAACTTAATTTTTGGAGCAATTTCAAAATTACTGGGAAAAGTTTTTGCGCAATCATCAAAAAATGCTAGTCATACAATTTCCATATATGGTAATTGTATGAGAAGCATTTTTTGTCATAAAGCAAAAACTCGGTTTTTTCATCACCAGACTGCTTTATTTGAACCAAATAGCCGCAATTTGAACCAAATTGGTTTATATCTTTTTTCAACCATTTTTTGAAATTGTAAGAAAATTGTACGACAAGCATTTTTCCGTACACTAGATGAACGGAATTGTTTGACAAGCATTTTCGGTGTATGGAGGTCAACCCGGGTCCATTACCCATTGAAAACATAAAGTCATCATCTCTTACGCTCACGCTTACTTCCGTTTTAAATTGTAGTCCTCATTGAAGTCACACCATCGAGGAAAAATGATATTGTACACTGGTATCGACGTGGAGTGGTAGTTTTTTTACGCTATGATTTCGAATTTTTGTGTTTAAAAAATTATAATCTGCGACTATCTAAATAACTCTGGGAAATTCAAATCAAATGTAAATCAATATATTTAATCAACTTTGCAGAGGTTTTTAAAAAGGATAAGAGAAAATTGGTTGCCGACCATTTCCATGGAGCTTTTTCAAGGAAAATCCTAGGCTACTGTGAGTCCGCTATTTGCGTCCGCTCCAAATTTTGTTTTAATTTTCACAATTTTTTTAGGTTTTAAATTTTTTTAGGATGAATTTTTGTTTAATTTTCTTGAAAATAAGAGCATATTGTTAGTAGATATTGAAATTTTTGTTCGTTGAATTACTTGAAAAGCTATGCAGATTTGCTAAACATTTCGGAAATTGATTTATGGATTTATCGCTCTAGAAAAGAAAGTCGACTTTAAAGTCTTATCAACCGATGACTCAATTACTGAGCTTGTAATTTTGAAGCTCAATCAATCTAAATTTTTTTTATAAAACCTAACACTCAGAGTGTGTGACGGCAAAGCTGTAACGACCTAAAAATGGTAAGTCCTGAAAAGACCTGAAAATTGAATCATCGTAAGGATAACAATCGTAAGTATGACAAATACCATTCCAGAGATTGAAACCATGAGTCCTGAAAAGGTAATGATAAATTACCTATTTATCAGGTTCTATTTATTTCAATTAATGATAAAGGTAATATCACTACAAATTTATTTGTAAATGATAAATTCCCGTTTTATCGCCCTCGATGGTACCGAAAACTGCAATCCAAAAACTGTAAATCTGTCGAGCGGAAAAATCATAAACAAAATTTCAATCCAAACTGGTAATTAAAATGTGTCCTCCGGAATCGCTCAAAAATTCGGCATTTCGTATTCAATCTTGTATGTTTGTTGGTTGATGAATATAGAATATAAAGCCACAGTTGGAAAATTTGTTTTTTTAAACGTAGTGACTATGAGGTTTTTCGATATGCCACTCTGTTTTTATTGATTTATATCAGTTTTAACGGGATTAAGTAAAACCGAAAATTTTTTTTGGCTTTTACTTAGTGGTTCGATTTTTTTGGCTTTATGGTTCATTAAAATGAGAAATTTTCTTCTCGTTCATTTGTTCAAGCGAAGGGAAAATCATTCAATTTGCTGCAATTGGAACTGAGAGGAGTTCTTCGTAGATACTTTTATTTCTATTGCAAATTCTAGGGACGTTTTTTGTGGTCGTCTGTTGAAGAATTTTTTTAAGTATCTTAATTGATAAATCAAGACATCAAGATTTTTATTAACATTGTCCGCCCTTAAGATCCTTGCGATTTTTCCACCGGTTATAATCCTAAATAAGCGTAGAGTAAGTTCATTTTGTGGAGGACGTTTTCAACGTGGAGTATTTTTTTTTATTTTGAAAATTTTTATCGTAGACTGTGTTTAAATTGTCCATGTTAAGTATTTTTCAATATTAAGATCAACGTTAAGTATTTACTTATTTTTATAAATTTTATTGTAGACTGTGTTCTCATTGAATTTTAATTTGTCTATCTACAATTGTCTATTTACATGGTCTATTTTTACTACGGGTGCTTCTAACGGAAGATTAGGTTCTGATTTTTTTAATTTGAGAATCCACAATGATCACAATTTAACAACGACAATTGAAAATTTTGGTGAAATGTCTTTTAAATTTACTGGATGCCTAGAAGGCGTCTATGCTGGGCAGACAGCTAGTTGAACTCTTGAAAACGTTTCACAGCAAATTTTACATTTTTTTCACTTCACTTAGTGTTGACTATCATTTCGCATGGGTCACTTCGAGCTCATTGTTATTTCCATTCCTGTTTTAGTGCTTTTCTAGGTTTCTAATACGCGAAAAATTTCAGTTATTAATTTGCATTGAAAGTCAAAGTATCAGGTAATGTTGATAAATATATCACTTTTCCTTCAATTTTCTCTGCTAAACCATTGCAGTTCTGGGCCATTTTGACTTGGGCGCCCCAGAAATTTTCCAATGATTACAATTCTTGCTGTTCTCGCTTAAATGTTTTGTATCTGTGTATTGTAACTTTAAAAAATTTTAGTATTTGTATTTTTTAGAAGACTGTTTTCTTTTTTTTTATCGAGGGTAAAGTATAACATCAAACGAAACTTTTAGTCATCCTAGTCCGTTCTCATGCCGTTAAAACTGTTTTGTTTTAGTTTTTCTGGATGCGTCTTCTTCATCAACGAATATCCTTAGATGGTTATAATTTCTCTTTAGTATCGCTTTTCTCAATTGTCCAATGACACTTTCCGGTGGTTTCTCTAAAACTGGAGGTTGTGAAAAATAGCAATCTACTGGGTTCAAAAGATTAGGAAGAAATCATTGATTTTCAAGATCAAAAGTTTTTTTCCCCAAAACATATTAAAATCAAATAATTTTATCAAATCAATTACAAAAATGTGGCTGCTTATTTGATTAATTGTTTGATATATCACTTTATCACGATAGGACTCATAAATTATTTGTCACTGCGTATCTGCTTTCCTTACCTGCTGTTGATTGTCTGGTTTGATCATTTTTTGTATACTTCGTCGTACTAGTTGTATCGAGATACTTTTTCCTCATTGTTGCACTGCTTGAACATATACCAAATTTCAATTTGTGGGTCTGTTTGAATCGTTTTTTCTTAATGTCGAGGACTGCATTGACTAATAATTTTTCACTGCAGTTCATTATTTTTTTGAGAGAAGCCGTTGGAAATATCAACTGCTTTGATTATGAAACAAATAGTCTGCTCAATAGATCAATTTTCATAAATTTTGCTCAATTTTGCTCTATTATCATAAAAGTTTCCATGAAATTTTTGTTGGTGTCAAAAAGCAAATTTAATTTCATAGGGCACCTTTTAAGTATTTCTCAGTCTTTTTATCACGTGCTCTTTTAGCAGTGAAATTTTGCTTCCAGAATTTGCAATAGGAAATACTGATTCCGATTTTGAATTCTGCCATGTGGCCGTCTACGCTGCTCGCAACTTTACCCCGGTGGGCCAAAAAACTTTAAAAATCTTTCTAGAAATATCTTCTTCCACATTTTGCATATTATTTATTCTTTGCTGGGCATACCTCCAAATGGCTTATGCAATTAGGTTTCCAAATTTCAAGCAAAATTTGACTTATATCGTTATTTTTAGTGGTATTTTGTCCTTCCGATCTGATCTATGGATTTTGTTCGGTCTGCTTTGCTCTCGACTGCGACTGGGTTGTGATATTCTTGTTCGGTTTTGGTTGATAAGAGCACTGGTTTTTGTATGATGCCTCTCTTTTAATGTTTTTTTTTGTTTTATTCTGCTCTTTTCAATTAGCCTGTCGTATCGAATGCTCAAGCGAATCTTGCGTCGGTCGTATTCCTTCGGATTTTTCTTTGGAGAATCTTCGCTGAGCGTGTGAGCTTCAAACATAAGTCTCACTCACTCTTAGCACAGTCACCGAAATGAGTCTTCTATGCTTACTCTGTCAGCTCCTTATTTAAACGCGCCAGGCTTTCGTTCTTTTTTTTGTATGCGAGACAAAAGATATATCTTCCAAACAAATTTATTCTATCTACCATGGTTATGTTTCGCTCTCCACATTACTCACTTTTTTGCTCACCGGTAGATCGATGTCTGGCTGACTTAGTCTAAACTATCTCTAGGCTTCCTTGTCCAAATTTGATAATATCTCATTGTTTTCCTTTCCGTCTCCCGCACTGACGAAAATGGATTAGGATCGATTCAAGTACGAAAAAAAGTCCGTTTTAATTAAGATCGATTTTAGAATGAAAAAAGTATGCAGGTTAAATGGAAAAGGTTATGATTGATTTGGATCATTTTCAAATCGATTTAAATTGATCTTCAATCCCAGCTAAAAAATTGATCCAAATCCATTTTAAATTCATTTAAGTTTACTTGTTTCAGTCTTTTATTGTTTTTGTTTTTAGTAAGATTTAAAAAATAATTCTATTTAAATCAATCTTTTATTCGAAATTCACCAGTTTCGAGTTTGTGTTACTTTTATTCAGTGACCATCATTTTTCATTTACATCCATAGCGTATGGTAGCATAATAAAAAGACTAAATAATTTTCAAAATATCGACAACATTTTATGAATCTTTTGAGCTCAAAGTTTGATCTATATTCATTTTTTTTCATTTAGTTTTTTGCCAAATATTTGAATTATAATGATAATTTTTGATAATTTCATTGAAATTTTGAGCTCAAAATTTGATATATTTTGAGTGTTTTTTTTATTTGTAACATAGTTTTTTGCCTAGTATTTGATTTACACTGATAATTTTCGATCACTTTCTTGATTTTTTGAGACCTTTATCTTGATTTTCTAAGTTGCTTTTTGCCTAAAATCTGACTTACAAAGATGAATTTTTATAACTTTGTTTCATATTTTTGAGCTCAGAGTTTGCTTTATAGTGTACAGTTTCTTGTTTTGTTACATAAATTTTTGCCCACTATCTGATTTACAATGATAATTTTTGATGATTTCACTGCAAATATTAGAGCTCAAAATGTGATATATTGTGACCCTTTTTTTGATTTGATAATTTAAATTTTTACCCATAATCTGATTTACAATGATGACTTTCTATTGGTTAGTTGCATTTTTTCGAGAATCAATTTGATTTTTCTGGACTTTTTTTGAATTCTAAAGCATCCAGAACGAGTGATTTTATTTCAAAATTTTTTTTAATTTCACGTTTATTTTTAGCCGTGTTATCAAAAAAGTGGATTAAAATCGATTTGAAATGAACACTTAATCCGATCTGCTCACCTGTCTTTTAAAATGGATTTAAGAATTTTAGTAAGTTCGTTTGGTTTTAATTGACATTCGAGTGGTTTTTAGTGAGCCGGAAAAACCATTCAATTCGCATTAAATTGATCTTTTAGACACTTATATCGATCTTTTGTCCAACCCTACCCCCCCCCCCCGCGTTTCAAAATTTTATTTTTCTTAGTTGCTTTACGTGTGATTATGACTAAACGCGTGATTTTCCGATGTGAAGTAAGAAGAAAAAATCGTTTCACAATAGTTAGTTTGTTCACCCCGTAAAATTTAATTACATTGAATCAACGCTTAAATAGTTTTTCAAAAACTTACACTCAAATGTGGGGAGGGAAGAGCTTTAAATTGATCCAAAACTTTAAAGAAAGATCAATTTAACTCGATTTCAATTCCGTTTCAGTTCCTAAAATGCACCTTGTTAACCCATTTGAATCGATTTAAAATCGAATTAAATCAATTTAAATCAATCCGACGCCAGGGCGGGTTCCATGAAGGGGGTGTTTTGGATTTGCTGTTCCCTCTCAGGTTTCGCTTGCTTTCTCTGGTTTCTGTTTTCTTGGTCTTGACGCTGCGCGTTTGTTTTGCCCGTAATTTTCTATTCTAAGGCTAATTCCGGTAAGCCTGTATATACTGATTTGTTTCGCAATAAAAGGTTACTAACTTTTTTTCGGAAAAACTGCTATTTTGTGAGTCCCACGATTTATTTAGTCTCTTCTATATTAGCGGCTCATGTGAAGTTTTGGGTCAAAAGGTTTGGAAATACGTTGTGGATGCTTTTGTTCAGCTGACAACGCCATGTCGCACAAAGCAATCCGCTGCTACGGGTAGGTAAGAAAACCTTGTGAAAGCTTGGTTCGTTTGCGATGAGTAAAAGTGGGAATAGCTGAGTAATTTAGATTAAATACAGGTATATGAACAACTGTATTCGATTAGATAATTCTAACGACAATAATTTCTAATCCAAGCACGCAGGGCAAACTTTTTTAGCAGGTGCTATCATAGTCTAACTTATAGCTATGTCTGTCAAGACCGATCAACGAAATTGGTATACATAATCTTAGTATACACAATCTTAGTATATGTTTCAGTTTTGATAAATAATCCAATCGGATGATACTTCGCTACTGATTAAAAAACTATGAGTCTACAGCGTTCAATTTGATCTTCGCTACTCGCGCCATGTCCTCATTTTCAGTCAATTCAATTTTCGCTTGTCTTCTTTTTTGTTGTGTAGCATCATCGTTTTCTCTGTTCTCGTCTTCCTCAGTCTTGTTTTATGTTTTCTCAGGGCGCGGATTTTCAAAAAAAATTTCGAAAATTTTGTCGAATTTTTTTAAGCTTCACTAAATTAATTTTCCAAACCCTCCCAAAGCACTGAAAAGACCCTGCTTTGGCCAAATTTTTTGCGCTGCAGGCAAAATTGTGAAAAAAAAAACAATTTTAAGCACTTTTTTGGAAATTTTTGGCCGAAAAATTGCTTTTTTTCGGCGCGCGCATCTCCTAAAAGTTAGTAAATATGGGCACCAAAGCCACCTTTAGAAAGATTTTAGGTTCCCTCAGCCAAAAATTGATATCTCAAAAAAGTAGAGAGGGGGGCGTTAATGGCGAAGGGAGTAAAGAAATAGAGCAGAAGAGGCAGGGAAGAGAGGAGAAGATGTATGCTGGGGCTGGGGTGTGGGGGAGGGGTTGATATTGGCTAACCCAATTTAATCACTTGCACGACAAAGTTTAGGCGATCGAAATCATTGTTTTTACAGAGCAGTTTACCAACTCTCAAAAACAATTTAAGCTCATAATAATTTTTCTCTCAGCATCTTTCTCTTCTGTCATCTTGGTTTCAAAGCATCTTCGACATGCTTGGTGAAATAATAACACACATCTCTGAGTACGTGACACTTTTTGGGTTTAAACTAATTGTCAAATTAGCCGATCCAACATATATTTCGACTTTTTGTTTACCCGAGAGTCTGTTTTCTAGTTTTAGAATTTCAAGAAATGGAGCTCTTAAATTCTACTTGATCTTATTTAAAACAATTTATACTTCAACCTCTACACAAAGCAATACGCAATAAAATAATATTCTTTTGAATTACGCATACTAATTGTTATAAAATTTTAATTTCCTTGCAAAAGAATTGAAACTCGTTTCAAACTATAAAATTCATTAGTGGCATAAGCAGCAGCGCATTTAGAGAAATCCGGTTAATTAGTAAGGAATCTTATTTTAGGCGTCAACTTTTTGTCAGGCAGACTAGAAAAAAATATATTTCCCCTGGTCGCCCAACTATCGCAAAGTATCTCGCCACTGATTATAATGGTCAGTTTAAATTTGTGAAAGATTAGATGCGCTCAATGATCCTTGATACTTATTTCGACTGTTGTTACTCGCCGATTGCGATCTCCCTCCCCTCTCGTAAGTTTGTTCAGGCGGCCGACTGTACCTCACATTTATGTCACTCAAACTCGGCAGTTCCACTTCACGCTGTTGAATCAACTCAACGATGGAATTTTCCAACTGACCTATCAAGGTTTCAGTATCCAAGCTGGCGTAGTTTTTAGTTCGAGAAAGTTGCGGTCCGTCTATAATAGAAAGCAATCGAATTAGAACTCCTCTGAAAGTTTCAGCACCGCCTTTAGATTCTTTTAGTTGTGTGATTTCGCTTTCCTGAAGTTTGACTTTACTTTCAAGACTGTCAATAAGTTGTTGGTAGTTTATGTTGAGCGACAACTCGTCCTCGGCACCAGAAGAGTCACCGCTTTCGCCTTTCGGCCAAGTTTTTGTCTTGATTTTCGCCGACTTCTTTCCCGAAAGTATACTCGTTGAGGTCAAGTTCGGGTTAAAGGTGACCTTCTTTGAAGCCATGCTACGGTTTCGTTTTTTGATTATTTCGAATGCATTTTCCATTTGGTCAGCCAAACCCAAATCTTCAGCCGGCAACTTGATGTCCAAATCTTCAACAAGCTGATCGAAAGCGTATCTAATTGAGGTCATATCTTCAACTTCATTTTCTTCGAGTTTCGAAATCAGAATCTCGTTTTCCATTTCAAGCTGTTGGACTTTTATTTCCAGCTTTTTCATGTCGCCCATTTGCATCTGCAGGCGTTTCATCATCTCAGTTTGACCCATCAATTTGGCATTGGCAGCAACAAGATTTCGCTCCAAACTCTGCGTCTTACCCGGTTCTTGGGATATACCCGTCAAGCTTGAAAGTTCCTTCTGAAGTTGCGTGACCTTTGACCTTTCTTGGTTCAACTGATCCTCGAGGTTTGTTGTGTTTTGGTTGCTACCTTCAGCATTCTGATCTTTAAGACTTTGAAGCTCGTCCTCTAAACTTTCAATTTGCGAGCGCAGTTTTTCTTCAGCATTATCGCTGCGGCTATCTCTTGAGCCGGGACTGTCTTTACTCTGCTGTCTGAGCGCTTTAATTTCAGCTCGCAGCTGCTTTTTCGTCTCGATCAGTTTCGTGTTTTGGTCAATAAGACTCAAAACCTGTTCTTGCAACTCGGCCTCTTTGTTTACTTTAGCTGAGCTCGATTTTTGAACTTCACCTTCTAGAACTTTGATTCGGTTCATTAACGAAATCTTTTCAGCGCTTGCTGTTTCTGAAATACTTTGTTTCAGACTTTCATTCACAGATTTTCGTTTTTCAGCCTCAAGCGAGTATTTCAAATCTTCGTTTTCTTCTTCGAGTTTGATCAAAGCTTGTTTTAAGTCCGAACTATTTTTTTCAATAATTTGGGCAGATTGCTTTTCTTGATCCTTAAGCAGTCGTCGTAAATCTTCTTTTTCAGTTTCGACTTTGGTCAGATTTTGCTGAAATTGTCCTTCTTTTTCAGATAAATTTTCCTGCAAACCTGAGAGTTCTTGTTTAAGCATATCAATTTCGGAATACAACTGAGCGTTGTTGTCGAGATTTGCGTATTTTGCTGAAGGCGAATTAATGGGTTCGGGCGCTCGGACACTTCCTAAGACTTCATTATTTTCAGTTGAATTCTTCATTTTCAGCTCATTAAGTTGGTTTTTCAATTCGAGGTTTTGATTCTCGAGGTCCTGGTTATCATTCTCGAAGTCTTTGGCGACTCTTCTTAAGCTCACCAACTTTTCGTTCACTTTGGTTAAAGCGATTTCCGACATCCTACCCGAGTTGGCGCTCGGATCGGGTTCGAATCCAGCAGAGCGAAGCAACGCGTATAAATTCGAATGAATTTCGTTTTGTTCATTCCTCAGTTCCTGGACATACATTTCACTTCCGGAAATTTTTCGCTCTCTTTCGTTGCTTTCTTCCTGATGTTGACTGTTGCGATTTTCAACTTCAGAACGGATCATTTTGACCATTTGAAGCGATGGTTTTGGATATTCAGGAGCTTTATTCAGAACTTTCAGAATTTCGTACAAGTTCACTTTGATTTCGTCGACCTCTTGTAGCTGATTTTCGTGCATGTTTTCCATCGATGCTTTCAGTTGTTCCGTGGATAGTTTTGAAAATTCGTTGAAAATTCCGGATGAGTTTGGGTGTTCGCTGCCCATAGGCGACATATAAGAGCTCGCTATGCTCATTTGGGAGCCTTTCAAGTTCTGACTACTTTTTGATTTCTTCACCAATTTCGAAGACCCCTTCAGGAAACTTGTCAAACTCCTACCCCGTATTGAAGACCGAGCTTGAATTGGTTGTTGAGTCGGTTGATTTTTGATTCTTTCAGTCAAAGCTTCCATCTGGCTCGCAAGCTCTTCCAAAGTACTAGAATTGCTAAAAAGCATGTTATATTTGCTTAAAAGCCTTCTTAGAATGTTCTGACAGGCTATCGCATCATCGTAGAACATTTCGCTGTCGTCTAATCGCTGCAGCAACATTCGGTTTTCATTTCGCTCATGCCACGAAACGTCTTTTTCACGCTCTAACTCCGAAACTAAATCTTCGTACAAAGTGAGGACAAGACTTTCTAAATCTTGGCCGTCGTCCAACCCAATATTTCGCATTTGGAGAAGTGTACAAACCTTTTCCCTCGTGTGTTGCAACTCGACTTCGAAGTCTGCATTGTTTGTCGTATTTTTGCTATCATTTTCGTCACTTTGAGGCGTTTTCTGAGGTTCATTCTTTCGAAGATCGCTTATTTCGAATTGCAGAACTTTAATATTTTGATTTAGTTCCTCCATTTGGAAATGATGCTCAGATTCTTGATTTTCTTTTTGAACCAATTCTTTTTTGAGCTGATTATTTTCCTCCGACAATTTTCGTGCTTGAATTTCAAGATTTTCGATTTTTTCTGAGCTTTTGTATTCCACATTTTCTTCTTTTTCGCTCTCTCGCGCATGTTTAGACTCAGTCAAAATGACTTGATTTTCTTTGTGAGCTAATTCGTTTTTGAGCTGAATGTTTTCCTCCGACAATTTTTTTGCTTTAATTTCAAGATTTTCGATCTTTTTTGAGATTCTGTAGTCCACATTTTCTTCTTTTTCGCTCTCTCGAGCATGCTTAAGCTCTGTCGAAATGGCTTCAAAAATCGTTGTGAGCTCATTCAAGAATGAGTTTTGATCAATCTGAGATTCAAGTCCCGTTTCTTTGGCATAATAATGAACAATTTCTTTGCATTTCAGAAATTCTTCCATTTGCGATGTGTCAGAACTCTGTCGGGCCTGCAATCCTCGGAGCTTTTCGGCTAATTTTTCATTCTCTCCGTTGAGTTCTTTCAAAAGCAAATCTTTTTTCTCAATTCTGAGTTTCAAGAATGTTGCAAACGCTTTGAAATATTCGTTGATGTCATTTTGATACTGTTTCTTGGGGCTTCCTCCAAAATTTTTGTACAAGTTATCCAAGTTTGTAACAACGCTATTTCTGAAATTGTCGAAACCGTCTTCTAGTTTTTTATTCAGCTCAAAATTTTTCTTCTCAAGATTTTTAACTTGTTCTTCTAGGCCTTTGACGAAATCAACAGAGCTATGTTCAATTGTATTCGACGGCGAATCGTCTGTTTGGAACTTGAATTCCACTTCACTCTTGACTGTTTCAACTTTTTCTACAGTTATTGTTGACTCTTCAGAAACAATTCCTGAATCTGACAGATTTTTGAAAGCGCCGGCTCTGATTTGGTTTTGCATTCCGTTCAAAGTGAATTCTAAATCTTCTTTTTCAGATTCGAGAACTTCGATTTTGTTTCTGAGATACGCAATTTCTTGAGACCGATTGCCATCATTTTGACCTGAATTTTGACGTTTCTGCATGTTTGATCTAGAATCTTCTAGACTGTCTTCCAAGTTTCGAATCTGGCTTTTGAGCTCACGGACCAAATGCTTCTGGCTCTCAAATTCTGCTTGTTTCTTTTTCAAATCTTTGTTTTCGGAAGTTATTTGGGACAACTTTTCGTAATTGCTTTCATTTTTAGCCAGTGATTCTTTTTGCTTTTTAAGTTCAGCTTTCGTGTCAAGTAACTCTTTATTTAACTGATTTTTATCATTAATCAGTTTCTTGATTTCTGACTGATTTTCATTTGTTTCATTTGCCAGTTGACCAATTTGATCGTTTTTAACCTGAATTTCTCGATTAAGTTTTGATATTTCGATTTTCAGACTTTCTCCGTCATAATGATTTCGGTCTTTTCCGTCTTCTGATTTGGGTACTTTCAAGCTTTCGATTTCATACTTCATTGCAGAGTTCAAGCTTTCCAAGTTTTTCAGCTGAAACTTCAGAGAATCAATTTGCTCCGTCAATTTTTTTGTCTCGATTTCATGTTCTATATCTGAAGAAGGTTTCTGCGCTTTTGAATTTGCCAACCTCAAATCATCTTCTAATTGATTGATTTTAAGCTGAAGTTTTCCAACTTCTGGGTTTTTCAGAAGTGTTCCAACTTCTGCATCTGACGAAGGTTTTTGCGCTTTTGATTTTGCCAAATTCAACTCCTCTTCTAATTGTTTGATTTTAAGCTGAAGTTTTCCAGCTTCTGGGCTTTTTCCTCCAATGTCTGAAGCTTCTCTCAAACGCTTTGTCAAATCGTGAATCTCGAATCCAGCATCTCTGAGATCTTTAGTCAAGCTTTCAATTTTCTTGTTCTTCTCTTGCTGTGAATTTTTCAACACCTTGATTTCCAAATCTTTTTCACCAACTTTTTTCTTCAGTTCCTTCAATTCTTTTTCGTTATTCCCATTTCCCTTTCCAAATGAATAATTATCACTGCTTTCGAGTTGCGCAATTTTCTCCTTGAGACGAGCGAGTTCTCCGAGAAGCTTCACAGTTTCGCTTTCTTTCATTGCCAGTTGTGATTTGGTCGCTTCCAGCTGTGTGACAATATCTTTCATTTTTCCCAACAAGCGCTCTTTAATACCTGCAGCTTGCTTGGAATCCGGAACATCGGGTAGACTTAAAGGGCTGTTTAATTCGGGCGCTGAAGAAACCTGAGCCGAGTTCTCAAAGACCAGTTCGTCGTCGACTATCGCTTTTTGTCGGTTAGTCTCAACTGCTTTCTTCGGCTCGGAAACCTGGGCCTGCTTTTTCTTAGACGAAGTATCTTTAGCCGAAGTTTTGTTTGCTTTCAGTTCTTCCAACTCAGCTTTGACCATTTTGTACTTGGTGCTGAGGACTTGCAGTTGTACGTTGCTTTGGCTCAGCTTCGTCTGTTGCTCGGTGACTACTTTGTTCAGGTATCTGTTCTCTGTTGACTTGTTCACGCCTTCGTCGTAATCATCATTTGAGGAGTCGCGACTCAAAGGGAGCTGTTCCTAAAATAACAAAAGATGCCAAATGTTAAGAAAAGTTGCCTCGATAATTTGAAAAAAAAATTTAGTAAAACCTAGTAGAACAAAACTGATAAAAAGACAAAAACACGAAAAGAAAAATAAGTATCCAAAATAGATTAAGAGATACATTATATTATTACAAACGGCCAAAAAGTATGAAATTTCCTCGTCAATCATAACCAACGCAAGTTTTCAATAAGTCAATTCTTTGACTGCAGACGCTGATCTAGGATTTTTTGAGTAGGAAGGATTAAATTGGATTTTCCAAGTAACTGCTCTGAGCTCAATAAAAAATGGTAGGAAAAAACTTAGTTCCACTCTCTAATTCAAAAAACTTTTGGAGCAAAAGGAGGAGCCCAACAATATTTGGGCTCGAATATTCAAAACATTTTGGAGCATAAGGAGGAGCCCAACAATATTTGGGCTCCAATATTCAATAGTTCATGCAAGCTATAAATGTTGTGCCATTGAGTGACTAATTGAGTTGTCAGGGGGTCGAATTTTTTAAAGCAATGTCCACTCACTCGCACATGAACGCTGATCCCACTACTGTTTAAGGTGGCAAAATATGCTTATTTCAGAAACAGGGGCGGATTTGGGGGGGGGGGGGGGCGGACGCCTTTCCTTTCAGGGATTCGACCCCCTGCCGACCCAAAGGGTCCCCCCTTTGGTACTTTTTAAAAAATTTATTTTTGGTCGACCGACCCTAAAATTTTTCTAAAGGCGCCCCTGTTCAGAAACCATCATTTTACTTACCATTCTGCTTTTCAGCCGGATAATTTCCAGGCGCAATAATGACGCTGTATCCGCATAGCACTTGATGATGAAAACGGCCAATGTCAACACGTAAGAAAGAAGCAAGATTAAATCCTGCTCCCAGCAGGAAAAAATCATCTCTACAGAAATTCAACTTCTGGTAAGAAACTGATGCCAAACTATGAGAGTTTATGATTAAGGCGTGAAAATTTTGAGGCAAAAATTGAAAGCAAATAGAAACAAGCTTGGGTGTTAAATGAGTTTATGAAAAGTGACACGGTTGAAGAAACACCTTAGCAAGACTAGTGAACAAAACGAAGTTTTAATCAGTTTTTTTTATAGTCTTTACTAGCAGTGTGGCGTGTTGTTCAATTTACGTACAAATCTTCATCATGAATCATAGCATAATTAAAATGGTGGCTTTTATGAGTATCAGTTTGTGAAAAAATGAGTAGTCAAAAGTCATAGTTGTACGTATAAACATATTGAAGTTGAAGTCATTGCAATGTGCTTCATTAGGCGTCGTGATCACATTTTTAAGATCCGTGAATAATTTATGTTTGTTTCAAGCTTCAAAAGACAATAAGCTATCAATAGTTTTGAAAAACTGATCAACCGATCTGCAGCAGATATGAGGTGTAATATGCTAAAAAGCGATGTTCCGAACACTGAAATCGGGACGGAATTTCGGGTTCGGAAGAATTTTTTTTTTCACACTAGGTTGCATTAATAAATATATCTCAAACCAAGTAGTTTCATACCAAGTAGAATTTTCACGTCATACCAGTTAGTATGTATGAACATAGCGAAGTCATAGCAATATGCTTCATTAGACGTCGTGATTAGATTCTTAAAAAACGTGAACAATTTGTATATTTCAAGCTTCAAAAACCAAAAAGCTATCGACAGGTTTAAAATTACAATCAGTAGATCTGCAGCAGTTATTAAGAGGTGTAAAAAGCTAAAAAGCATTGTTCAGAACAACTGAAATCGGAACAAACTATTGGAATCAAAGGAGATTTTTTACCTTAAAAACCAAATAGCATAAACAATATTTTGATAGTTTTTTGCGAGGTATCATATTAAAGCCATGTCAATTGGGAAAAGAGTGACGATAAAAAACTGATCTGTTGAAAAAGTTTCGCGTGGTTGAGAAAACAGTTACCAATTTTCAAGTTTGGTTTAAATTACCGCAGATAGGGGACGAAGGAAAAACAGATTGGAAGATTTTGAGACCAAACATCATAAAAATTTATGGAAATTGATAAGTGCTTTCCATTTCCTCTCTATGACAACCTACAAAAAATACATAAAGAAAATATTTTAAAACATCTGAAAAAAAGCTTTGCTTCATTGATTAATTTTTAATTATCTTTCATTCATTAGTTTTGCGCTTTGCAACATACATGACTGGGAAACTTTGTGCTACTCGCCCAGCAATCTCCCATATAGGTCGTTCCGAATACGGAGTGGACATGAACATCGAAAATAGGATTATTTTTGCTACAAAATCTGGCAACACAAAAAACCGGCAGATGAAGTCGAGATTGCCATCAAATGAAAAATATGGCATCAAATTTCAGCTTTCCGGACCTTTATACTTTATAAATTCATAGCAGAAAACAAGCTAGTTTAATTTGCAGATTTTATTTAGTCCAGTTTTCTTTTACCTAGATTTTTTCAAATGAAACTTGTGCTGAAATATGTATAGGAATTGTTTTTCATAACTTCCACTTGCATGTTTACTTTTTGCATTCATGAACTCCAATAGATCCAATGCTTTTTCAATTTTTTTTCTCTTGTGTACGATATTTGTGATACTTAGGAAAAAGCTAGTTTTTTCTCTTTAGCATCAAAAAAAATCAAACAGCGAAGGAAGCGCTGACTACCATTTTTCGCTTTTTCTATCCTTAAATGTCTAATTATAATGATTTGACTTCCAGCTGGCTGATTTTGCTTTAAACACGTTTGGCCCCACCTTTTGAGAGGAGTTCAGTAACAAAAGATTCCCCTAAACTACAAACAAACAAACAAACGTACAAGCAAACAAGGATAGCCTGTTGCTGTGCAAGTAGCACAGAATATTCAGCCTGTACTAAAAAAAACTAGAAAACAGGTTTTTTCGTTCGTTTGTTTTCTTTTTAAAATAAATGCCGTTTTTAGTGCGTGGTGAGTTTCGAGACTTATACAAAAGCGTAGAAAAATAGTTAATTAGGCTAGATCGACAACAATTTCTCGAAACCTGAAAACAAAGCAATTGTTTTTCTTATTTCGATTCGATTAGATGAAACGACTTTGTTAACCGATAAAAACTTAAGCGTGCAGCTGAATTTCTACAAAATTTTCTGTATTTTCCGAGCCATAATTTCGATGAACGTTTTTCTAAAGATCACTTGTAGTTCCAAAAAAAACAATTTAATAAATTGAATTGAACCCCTTGCCGTACTAAGGAGTCCACCTTTTTTAAACTATTTTAAGATAGCCATTTTTGGCTGACAGACCCTTATTTTTTTCTGAAGGCGCCAATACTGACTAATTTTGAGGGGGAAGCGTGCGGGGATTCCAAAACATTTCTAAAAGCGCCTTTTTTAACGCGTTTTTTCAAAATTTTGTCCAGGCGCAGAAAATTTGGCCAAAACGGGGTCTTTTCAGTATTTTGGGAGAGCTCGGAAAATCAATTTAGTCAATCTAAAAAAAGGTCCACAAAATTTTATATATATATTTTTCAAAATCAGGACAGCCTAAATTCACCACTGTCAAAAACTAAAGCATTTAATGCAAAATGTAGACAAAAAATGATGTTTTCTTCATTCTTTCATCAAAATTTTCCCTTATTGTTCTGATGTTCTCTCGGGCATTCACAATATACAAATAAGGCTTGAGCTATTACAACCAATCGAATAAAACTGGATTATAATATAAACAGAGAGGCGAAGCTGCGCTTCGCAAAAGCTTCGCAACATATAAAGCAGAGAAGAGATACTATAAAATTTCCAATGCAACAAATTGCAATTATAGCAAAAGTGCCACCAATTTAACACTTTTAATGAAAACTTTTATTTGCGAGTTAAATTAGAAAAAAAAGAAGGTTCGTAATAATACACTAACGCTCGTAAACTCGACAGTGTAAACATATTAGTTGAAGCAGAGTTAGGCTGTATTGTGCCTGCTGTATGAATTAATCTGCTGAATTAGTCTAAATAACAAATATTTCAACCAATTTTTCTCGACCTAAATGGATGCCTTATAGTTGTACGTAGGGGGTGGGGGGGGGGGGGGGCTTTTTGGGTGTTCAGGAGGTCGAATCGTGGAAAGGAGGGGGCCTTAGCCATAGCCATCGCTTTTTTCTCCTCCATAAATAACCTACTGAATTATTCGTCAACAATATTAACTAACTCCGACTCTTTTACACTTTCCTACACATTTGAATTTTTGTTCTGTAAAACTTAATTAACGTTGTCATAAAGCAATGAAAATTTGCATGGTGAACAAACTAACCATTGTGAACACAATTTTTTCATAAATGCTTTGTTACATCACGCAATCAGCCATTATAACACAAAAAAAGCAATTATGAAAACAGAAAATTTGAATTGTGAAAATGGAAAATTGGCCCAAGGATCTGATAACTAAAATTTTTTTCTCCAAAGTTGAGTGAAATGCGCAAAAACTACCAAATAATTAGTTAAATTAGTAATAATCACATCTCTTTTGCTTCTACCACAAACACGAAAGTTTTGTTTCGACCAGCAAAATCTTGGAAAATTGCGTCGACCGAAAAAAAAATCCGCAACCCCCCTCGCAAAAATCATAGATAAATCCCAAATGCATCTAGGAAGCAGCGGAATTAACTGATGGAGCGGGGCGGAGCTTCCTGTTTATAGTTGATGGAGTTGCCTTTTTTCGGGGATTTAGCGCCCTCGCCATTCATAGGGTCCCTTTTACATCAATTTTTGCCCAACCGACCCTAAGAACTTTCTGCGGGTACCTTCGGCGCCAATATATAGTGAATTTGAAAGGCCCTCCGTCCCCCTTCGAAAAAATTCTAGATCAGTTCTGTATAGATCTAGTTTTTAGTTTTCATACAACATATGTTGGTCGCATCATACCATTTAACCATGAACTTTGTTTCAAACTACAAAAAAGTTCATTCAGTATTTACTCTGAATCGGCAGATAATTCTTGAACTGAGTCAGAAATCAATTGTTTAAAACTTAAGTGGAGCCATGGTTAAATTTGTGACCTATTTATCCTTGTTGTGTTTCTTTTCGTTGGATTGTGACTGCAAGCGTCTCAGTAATACAAGGTGTCCAGAGCTAGTCGTTCCAGTACACATAGAGCTGGATGAGTTGTTGGGTGAGTGGGTTCAACTTCACAAGGAGAAAGGAAAGGTGGTGCCCTGCAGACAATTAAAATTCAGATACACAGGTAAGACACTCACTATTCTCTTACAGGAGGCCATAGTACAGACATTTGGCCACGGATTCGTCATCAGGTTTTTGAGAATCTATGTAATAAAGCTTGTGCACGGAACCCGTCTACTCGTAATTTTGTAGTCAATGAAAACAGTTGAATGAAAAATGATCTATCTGCAATTTTCCACGAATGATTTACGGCTAAAAAGAAAAGTGCATTTAAAACTGCATAATATCCAGCATAGTATAAGACAAATTAGCCGCAGAATAATTGCCACAATAGCTTGTTCGATTCGATATCATAATAAACCATGCCTTAACAGGTGAATAGTTTCGATGTACTGAATTTGTTGAATCCTGAGCTAAGAAAACTGGATTTTTTGGCAGCTAAGATTTAACATAGAATACAACAACACATGCAATTCGGTTTACTCTTGCAAGTGGGGGCAAAACGGTTAATTAAATTTGCACCCAAAGTATTACCATTTAATATTCTAGGCTACCAAGTTGAATTGATGAGATCTGAAAATGGACAAAATTACGAGAGACTGCTGGGAACTGTGAAACCCGCGTACAGACAATTGACAGTGGACTTGGCCGAAAGCAGCTCTTTTACTCATTTCACATTGGATCATCCCAGCTCGGCCAGGAGAACATACAACTATACAGCCATTACGGTTTGGATTCTAGATTTCAAAAAGGACGATTACGTAACTCTCTATTCGTGTGCTGAAGTAGAAGGCCAGTGGGGGATTCAGAGGAATCATTATACCTGGGTCTTGTCAAAATATGGCAACATGCATATTTCCACATTTCAAGAAATCGAATCAAAATTTGTAAACTTGACAAAATTGATAATATATGAGCTTCATTTCTGTTAAAAAACATAGTGAAACATACAAAATAAACTTCTTATTGTTCATAATATTTTTTCCGCTGAAATTTGCGGACTGAAACAGAGAATTAAACAATTATTGACTTTTAACTAAACTATGTGATTCGCGAAAATATTACCTTGAGTAATGCACGCATTTTTTAGCTTGAGCTTCAATACATAGTCTGTGAAAACGCTCAACTGCATACAGGAAACATAGCCAACTGATAGCTTTTGAATTTGCATTTCAAAAAATAAAGATGGACTTACGGCTTCTTGAATTTGTAGAACAACTTTTGAATGACACTTTTTTGATAAAAGTAACCTAATTTGAAAAAACTAAATCAATGGTAGAAAGCTAGTAACTAATTTTCATTTTCGAAATTAGAAGTTGAACAAATTTTTTGTGCTATTTACAATTTTGCTGTTCGATAGTGGAGTTTGCCTACCAAAAGAAATGAAGTGAACATAAAAAGAAATCAAAAGTCAAACCGCGAAAAATCAAAATTGAGCGTAAACAAACTTTCAGACTTTTTCCTGAAAAAAGGGCAAATAAAATCACGAAGACCTATATTATAAGAGTACTCACTACGTTCTTACACTTAATTAGATTTTTAAATATATTTGAAAAAACGTCTTTCAAAAACCTTTCTATTGAGTTTTTTTGGCTGAAGATTTTTCATGTAGACAGCGCTGAATTTTGCAAAAACACCTCAAACATGTCAAAAAGGAACACTCAGAGACCAACAAATAAACCTATGGCCAACTTAAAAACCAATTTATTTTTTAATTAACTTGCCCAATTTGATAAAACGGGAACAAAATGTAATTTTTTCCGCAATGGAAGTTTTAAAATTCAAATCCCTATTTATCCTACATGTTTACGTCACTCGCACTTTTGTTACTACAGAGTCGAATTTGCTTTCTTTTTATTAAATTCTTTTGATTAAATTCAAAATAAAATCAAAAGACAAGCCGGGAAAAAATTAATTTGAGCGGAAACAACATTTTACCATAAAAAAAACATTAAAACAATAGACGACCTCAGCAAGTTTCGACATTAGTTGACATATAATCGTACCAAGTCACTCCATTTTTCAATCTAGTGATTATGATACCACCTCAATCCTCGCCTGAAACTCCACTCTATTCTCAAATAATCAACTTATACAATAATCCACAAAAACAAATCTGATATCTTAAACCTGATATAAATTCAAACTATTGAAATATGCTAAAGGAAAACAAAAAAAACACATTTTATGGATTCGTATTATAGCATAATGTGTTACTTCAAACTCAAAAATGTGTTTTTAAGGAAAAAATTTTCGTATATAAAAGAACAGCGCAACTTTGCACTACTGAAAGCAAAAATTATATTCTCTGACATATTCTCCCATTACAAAAATGAATTTCTATCTGTCGAAAATCTATTAATTAGTTAGTACCTACAGTCAATTCCTTCTCCAACATTTTTTTTAGTTTTTAGTTACAAATAAAATCACAATCTTCAGTCAGTGCTATTGAAGAGAAAAACAAAAATTTGAAAACAAAAAAATTTTGAAATCAAAAAAGAAAAATATTCAATTATCTTTACCATCAAAAGATTCAATGTAACTTCTTTAACTGGAGTTCAAACATTTTTAATACAGAAAAAACATATATAGGAGAAATTAACTCAACAAAATTAAGCAGAGAAACTATAGTTCATTCAAGTTTCTCCAAATAAATTTTCAAGCTCCAGACCGGACTTGAACCCCAAACATTTGTCTACCAAGCTTGTATGTTATCTGTATTCCAAGACCAAAAACAGCTGCTAATTGATATGCAAATAATCATAAGTTAACTGATCGATGATGTTAGCTAATGGGGAAAAAGTATATTACCCGGCTGCAAAACTTTTGCTAACATTAAGGATAAAAAATTGCCTTATTATTGCAATTAAAACTCTTACAAGCAGTACATGTGGTTTCCAGATTATTAACAGTTAGTTTCAAGAGAAACAAAAAAATCATAGCCAATAGAAGGATGAAAAAGGTTTAAAAAAAAAAGGAAAAATAAGAAAAAAAAATTGGAAATTTTTAACGTTCCAACAAAAAAAGAGAAACAGGTTAAAATTCGTTGAGCTTCAAGAACAGCTTTTGATTGACACTTTTTTGATAAAATTAACCTTATTTAAGAAAATTAAATGAATGGGTTTTATAGAGCCGGAAAACCCAATAACTAAAATCCACTTTCGAAACAACAAGTCGTTCACGATTTTCGCCCCATTTCCTTTTTCTTAACTGGGGAGCGCAAATTACCTAGCTTTTAGCAGCTGAGTTTTAATTGAACTGAAAGTGGTTATACACCTAAATGCATACATAAATACATTAATATGTATGAAAGCATCTCAGTAGTTATTAGAGCGCATTAAAACTTTACACAGCGTCGAAGCTTCGCTTCGCAAACACCTGCGAGAACACGACAAAACGCAGCTCTAGAAAGTGCAATAAAAATATAAATAAGCCATTAGAAAAAATTCTGCTAGGTCTAGGATTCGATCTGCGACCTACTGCAACATAGAGAATTTGAGTCTCACACACTAACCACTCAGCCACGCACGCTTAATCATCGACAAACACTATTCACGAATAAAGCAGCTACATATGCTAATAAATTACAAATGGTATTCAGCAAAATTGGCACCAAATACAAATAGACGCAATTTTGCAAGTAATAATTCAGAATATAACAAACTGTGGGCATCCACACTAACTTTGCATGTATGGAAAGCATAAAGCCATATTATGTATAAATTATGCATTTCAAAAAATTGCGAGATATATTGAGTTAGAAAATTTCTGAAATCGAGTTTTTATTATAGTAATGTTGTTTGAACAAATAGCTTTTTTCGGTTCATTTGATAAAATTAAAATGCATCAACGGTGTTAATTTATTACTATTCGAATGTCAAAGCACATTCTATCAAAAAGCTGTGAAGGAGCCCCAAAAGTGGCACCAATTTTTGCGACTTAGGTTAGCAAAAAAAGAAGGGAGTCTTACTAATCCTAAGCTGACGCTAGTGTAACAAAAGAAATCAGCAAGACTATTGTAAGTGAAAATTGCTTCGTTCTTTTACACTTGAAATTTTTGTTGTCTACGATTCGCAGAGAACCTATGAAAAGAAAAGCTATCAGGCCTGTCTAAGCATAGTACGTGGACAAGTTATTTTATTGAGCGAAGCTCTTTTTTTGCGTCTAGACCTTTCACGTGGTACAAATTTTGAACCCGGAATTAGAAGAACCCGGAATATCTTAAGTGAGAGCTCGTCCTCGCGCACTATTTTTCCAATACACTATCGTTGGATAGTGATCCAATACACTATCCAACGATCTTAAAATTAACGCCTTACCACAATGCTAAGTGCCTCTAATCCGAGCCCAATATCTTTTTAAACTTAGAAAACGTTTCATCTCCACAAACTCTTATTTCTCTCGCCATCATTCTTTCCAAATGAGCCCAACTTGCTTGTTTGCCGGCGTTTTTGATTGAATGCAGAAAACCACGTGAACAAAACTACTTTTTATACAATTTTGTCGGTACTGCGCCGAAAGGACTAAATGAAAATCAAACACTTCACAGCTACTGACAACGTTTAACAGTCGGTACGATAAAACACGGCGTGCAGTGTAACTGATTTATCCACGAGCGTTTTTATACAAAAATTTGAAAGGATTCAAGCCATAGACCAAATAACTAAGCCATAGATAGACAACACTTCATTTTAGACTATTTATAAATTTATATTATATTATTCATCATTGTGAACATGTGTATGATGCATATTTTGATAGAACAAAGCTAAAAGTTATTGAAATTAAGCGACCTCTGTATCATGAATGTAAATGGTTCTGAAACAGCAGTTGATTCAAGTTTTGAGTTGTCTGACAGTACTTGCCATGGGGACAATGATCATCAACACCATTCCAGTGCGAAACTTTCAAGTGGTATTTTATCACCAGTTCAAATGAATGGTTTGGATCAAAACAAAAACGCTGAAAATGAATCAAAAATTCACAATGCAGAGAGCGACCAAAGTAAACAAGAATCACTACCAGAAAACGATACAACACTTGCCAGACCATGTTTATCCGGAGTTGAAAACCAAATACGGACTGATTTTAGCGATACAACGTCAGACAGTGTTTCAAGCCAGCTTAATGAAGATATTAGTCTAAGTAATTCAAAATCCTTAGCTGATAGTCAGTTTCAGACAGCAAGCGATAGCAACTTTGTTTCTTCGAGCAGCAACAATTTACCCGAATCGAGCATTTTTTCGAATTCTGAAGAAAACGGAATCAAACCAAACACAATAAATGCAGAAGAAATAAAACAACAAAGTAATAACATTACGTCTTTTGAGAATCAAAATTCGGAAAAATTAACATTCGAAATGGTGAAACGAAAGAAACAATCCGAATCATTTGTCATCGAATTTCCTCAAAAAGCAGGAAACTTTCCGAAAAAGAAAATAAGTTCCAATAACTTACAAGACGGTTTTCAAAAATTTCAGCAAATGAAAATAGATCAACTAAAACAACAGAGAAAATTGAGAAAAGCTCAAGAGAAACGGAAGCAAAAAGAACGAGCGATGCCGCACAATATGTGGAATCTTCGGATGCGTTTTCTGATGGAGTTGAAAAAGTATCTCGGAGTTCCGTATGCGAAGAGGTATTTCAAACCGGGCGAGCCAGAGTTCGAATCAAAAATATTTTTGGACTGCTGTGGGCTAGTTAGGAGGGCTCTGTGGAATTTACAGTTTTTGTTCGGGTTTAGAATTGGTGAGTTATACATTTTTTTCATATTTCATTCCAAAAACGTAAATGGTATGTAATGGTACGCCCCCAAACGATATGATAATCGCTTTCTCTGAAAATGAATCATCGATCAAAAGATGAAAAAGACTCGTGGACTGTCGTCAGAAAAGCAACTGTAATTCAGTAATTCAGAGTCAATTTACAAAAGATAATAACGGGGATCTTTCGATCCAAATTTGATAAGATTATGCGTTTGCGTGTTTTTCGTTGGAACGTGAATGCCATAGTTTGCAAGACAACAAGAAATCCCATTCTTGCTTGGGGAGGAGATAAAGCTCAATAGGTACTTGAGGCATGTTTATAGTTTGAATGATATCAAGCTCAATAGGTACTTGAGGCATGTTGAAAATAGTTTGAATGATATGAACTCATAAAACAGATTCTCCAAATTGGAACGCCAAAATTTTCAATATCAAAGCTCAAAAATTACAAAAATTAAAAGTGAAAAGGAATCAATAAACTGAGGCATATAAAGCGACTTTTTTCTGCCCTCAAACTTTTTTTAATAAAATTTTTTAGATAAAATTCGATTTTTTCTTTTTCAAAACTTTTCTCGATTTTCAAAGAAAATAAACTTCAGTCGGTCAATTGATTGCGCACTGCGAACCATCTACTTGCTTTTGCTGACGTCTTTTTGTTGCGTTTTACCGTTTTTGCTTCGGGGGGGGGGGAGATTGCTTAATTGATCCCACAAAACCGCACCAACATTTTTTTCGACATCGACGCACGCAACTAACTGGAATCTTACTTTTGTACATACAGAAATATCTTTTAAGTAATGTCAAACTCGACGCAACTGTTTCAATTTCTGCATTCAAAACAAAATTTTTATGAAATTGCAGGTCCTTGGAACCAGGCCTACATGTTTGACACACTACCAATTGACATACAGGACGAAAAAGACATGAAGCCTGGAGATTTAGTGTTCATTTCTGGGACTTACAACGAAGGCGTCAAGTTCAAAAACTCACCTCACAACATGAAACACATCGAAGTGTGGCTTGGTAAAGGTCAAAAAGTCATAGGATCCCGGTGGCAACGGGGAACCGTCAGCATTTTCGATTCCTACAAGTTCGAATCGAAGTCTTACAGCAACATGGTTTATTATTTTAAGTCAATCGACACTTGGTTAAAAGGCATCTGCAAGAGTCATTGTGAACAACACCCTTGGAAATCAAAGCGACCCATAATGTTCTCAGAGAAATCGGTCTTTGCAAAGAAAGCAAGAGCTCGTAAAAACAAAACTTCTGCAGAACCAGATGAGAGGAAATCCAAAACGAACACGAAGGAAAACAAATCATCTAAAAAGTCATCAACACGTGCCAGAAAAAGGTCTGCGGCCACTAAAACAAAAAGCAAAAATAAACTTTCAGATGACCCTGAAACTGTTGCTTCTGAAGAATTTGTGACTGATTTTGGTGACCTTGAAATCGAGGGCCAACAAGAAGCAGAAGAGGAAGATGTTTCGGATATTGATGAAAACGAATTGAATAACGAGGAGCTGCTTGAATGCGACGATGATGACGGCGCGGATATTGAGGGCGCCGATGATTGTTTGAATGACGGGATGGGCGAGGATGATGATGACGACGATGAAGTCTCGTCGTTGGAGGGCGACCAAGAATCACAAGCTGAGGAGCTAAACCAAGATGAAGATTTGGAGAGTAGTAGCAGTCAGGAGCAACAAAGTGAATCGACTGAAGATATAAAAGCAACAGATGAAAATGCGTTACTAACTAACCCATTTGATGATATTTGAGTATGGATATTTGCTAAAATTCAAATTTTTCAGGACAAAAACTATTTTTTATTCGATCTAACCGCACGATAACCCCTTATGCGTGTTCCAGAATATCACACTGAAAATCAACCCCAGCTTGCTCGCTGTGATATCCTCGATTACGCGCATGAAGAAAAACCATTTCACCACTATGCGGCTGAAAAAGTTCTTCTGTCTTGTAACCTTGCTTGTAAGAAGATGATTGGACGACTTTGTAATTAATACTTACTAATTAAAAAGTAAAATAAGCAATTATAATTGACAGCAAAACAATAACCAATGCACCGAGAATTATTATCATATTTGAGTTCGAATAAGCTTGAGCTCCAGGTTTATCGAGTTTTGAATTCAGAGCCACTTTTTGTTCCTTGCATCCATTGATCGCTGTAAGACCTCCAAGCGAGTTCTGCGAGAACACTTCTAGCTGATTTTCGTCATAACCAGCCAAAATTGGAATGTTTAAAAATTCACTCTCCATAAAACATCTTGCAGGTAGAGCTATGTCTACTGATTTAGATTTCTTAGCTTGTCCTGTTTCTGCGAACACTTGAGAAATCCTATAGAAAACCGATTCCGATAAATCCATAGAGATATCATTCAAGAGATCGGTCCAAGCAAGGTTTTGTTCACGAGCAAAAACTCCCAAAACGAGTATATTTCCTTTGATATTTACTTCCATTTTAGATTGTTCTGCTATATTGGAAGTTTCATCGTGTTTCGAAAGCTCGTAAATACTAAACGTTATTTCTTTGAGTTCCTTATTGAGGTGTATATTCACAAGGTCTTCAGGCTTGACACATTTTTGGTTTGACAAAATTATGACATCTTTTGGATTTAACTTCTTAATTATCTCTTTTGAGAGCTTCTCAATTACTGAATTATATTCTGCGAAGTTAGAACTAGATAGTTTCATGTCTAAATCAACCGATACTCTATATTTTCTAAATATATCTTCTATATTTCTTTCTGCTTGCTTTATTTCGACTGAGTTTACATTTGTTACGTTTCCTTTGCAGACTTGAATGGCAACACTTTGTAGCTTGTGAGTTGTTAAATCAAAATAAATTCCAACAAGAGTTGAGATGGTTCTGTTGAAATCTGACAGCTGAAATTGAAGATTAAGTAATGCCTTTGACAAACAACTTCTAATTTCCGAGCTGGCATTTTTCGTAAAGTCTCCTTTAGCGTTTTTCGGTTCCCCGCTAAAGGTAACAAGGAACCCTATCAAATGGATTCCAGCGGCAAGATGAGAAAGAACATAGGTCAAACTAGTTTTCACATCTTTCATGGTGTTCAAGTTCAACTCGTTTGATTTCAAAGCATCAAAGATCACCACTTCATCTTGACTTGTTTTGCGCGGTACCCCAATTAAAGAAAATACTCCAGGAGCAGATTTTTTCACATTTTCCGTAAACTGATTTGGAACTGTTACTTTAAGTGACATGTTATAATCTAAAACAGAAAATTTATCGCGAACTGCAGTTTACTGAGAGCAGCTATTAATTATACATTTTGCTTAGAGCTACAGATTTACTTTATCATTAATCAAGTTTAAATAATACAAAATTATGAGACCAACATGCTTAAATGTAACAGAGGAAGTTAAATTGGGAATTTTGGAAGAAAACTTTTTAAAATCAAGATGATTTAATAAGTCGACTGCTCAATTACGACTTCGATTAAATTAAGTTTCACACAGAGGCGAAGCAGAGCTTCGCACCATTTGCGATACAGCACAATCATAAAAAAAGCATGAGTCGAAAAAAAAAGATATTGAAAATAACTAGGAGAACCAAAATTTTCGTATGTCTCGATGAAGGACACCTAGGGCTCAGCTAAAGCTGGAGGTAAGTATTTAAAATTTTTTTTGAATTTGTTATACTGATGCTGGACTAAATGCGTAATTCCAAAAATTAGACTATGCCCATAAACTTAAATGTTTCTCAACTAAAGTGAGAAGAGTGAACGTTTTTGAGATTTTGGAATTATCTCAAAAACCTAGCCTTGCTTTTACAAAAAATAAGGAGTAGCCGCTTCTGCAGGAAAAATTTGCGCCACCACTTCTTTCGATTGAAATTATCATCCAAAAAAAATTCAAGTTTCTATAAAAATAGTCAAAATTCAAAAATCAGTAACCTTTTTCTGCTAAACACAGGTCGTGACCGGTAAAGTAGAGAATATTCCCAAAATGCATTTCTCGATTGAACAGTTAACCCGATAATTGGCAAGTAATTTTCGAGTCGAGTAAAAAAACTTCCAAAAAAGGTCCAATTTTTAAAACTTTAACTGGTTTAAAGACCATAACTTTTTTCTAGCAGAAACTGGGCGTAGCAAATTATAAAGTTAAGCTTCCAACTACCTGTTGCGTCGATTAAACCTATGATATCAATTTTGGCTGGATAGTTATCGAGAAAAGACCAAAAAACGGTCAACAAATCAGAGAGTTAACACTTCCGAGAATCATAACTTTCTGTTTTAGAAAAAATTGGTCGTAGCCGCTAATGTAGAAAAAATTCACCGATCTGTTATTTCGATTAAGCCCAAAAATCTAGGTTTGGCCGGGTCGTTCTCGATACTAGTCAAGAAGTTTCAAAAAACGAACAAAAAACCAAAATTTTGACTTTTCCGAGGGCTATGATTTGTTTTGCATAAAAAATTTGGACGTAGTCGCATATGTAAATGAGCTTCACACAACCAGTTCTTTGGATTGAACCCAAAATCTCAGATATAGAAGGGTATTGTTAGCTCGAATTCAACAAAGTTTGAAAAAAAAACGCTCAAAATCTCAAAAATGACTTTTCCGAGGACGATAACTTTTTGTGTGCAAAATTGTGAGTGGCACCGCTAATGCATGGGAGCTTCCCACCACCCGTTATCTTCATTGTACCTAGAACCTCAGGTTTGGGAGATTTGTTTTCGAAAAAAAATTTGAAAGAAAATTTAAAAAACTGTCAAAAAAACTATTCCGAGGGCCAGTATTTTCTGTGCAGAAAAATTTGGGCATAACCGCTTAATAAAGGGAGCTTTTCACTACCATTTTATTCATTGAAACCTAAATATCAGATTTGGTAGGATAGTTTTTGAGAAAACGAAAAAAAAATATCGGTCAAATATTCCCCACAGACGTTTTCGAAGGCTGCAGACAAAAGGGGAAAGCAAAAAGAGCCCAGAGGAGTATGCAGCCACACAAAAAAGTAGGCTATCTTTTTATGTATACCCCTTTTTTGAAATTTAGTAGAAAAATTTTGGGGAAAAATATATTTTTTTTTTGCAAAAAGTATTAAAATTTTCCAGGCGTCTCAAAAAAAAAATAAAAAAACCCTTACATTTTTATAATACCTGTTTTTATCAAACAGGAATTCTAGACAAACATACCATGCTAGACATCTGCAATTCAAATAAGCAACTGGATAAAACTTTCGGAGCGGAAACAAGGCCGACAAGCTTTGAGCAGTCACCTGTTAATCCGAAAAAAAACTTACTAGGTAAAAAACTTTTAAAAGTTTCAAGCCCCTCTGAAACTACCCTGTAATAACTAGCACTCAACCAGTAGTGAAATTTGAAATTTTAAGAAATTGAGCATGTTTGGTTGCTGCAGAAATGATTCAACTGATTTCGTTGAATTATTTGTTAAATAGAAAAAGTCTATATTCCAGTTCAATAACGCTTGCTTATCGCAAGAGTAAAAACTATCTACGAAAGAATTTTGTTCGGCGGAATTTTGTTCAAACTATCAAAGTTTGGCGGAGATTATCAATCAATTGAACAAAAATTTAGAGCGATAGGTTTGCGATAGATGCCTGAAAATCTTCTCCATATGTAATTAGTTCCAAAATTTCCAAAAATTCGAAAGAGGCAGATCGGTGCCCCAAACAAGGAGATACGCAAGTCAATGATATTGAAAAAATACGCAGTTTGAAAAACTTAATACCGAGCTTATATTCGGTCAATATAGGCAAAATTTAAATCAGCGTGTACAAAAAAAAACTTAAAAATTAGAATTCCTCAACACATGAAACAGAGCATCCATAACTTGCCAACCAAAAATATATAGTAAAGTTCATTTAAAAAATTTATATTTAACAAAAATTCATGAGGAACAAGGATAGCCAGTTGCTGTGCAAGTATCGCAGATTGTTACGACCATACTGACAGAAGCAAACAATTCAAATTGAAGAAAAAATTTCAAAAATCGATAAAAAGTTTGACCAATTTTTTAAAATTATTTCATCAATTGACTGAAACATTTCCCGTTCTTTTTTTTTCTAGAAAAAGCAACAGAATTATGTATTTTTTGAGCAGAAAACTTTCATTTTGCATAAGAAAAACTCTTGATCGGACTCGAATCACGACTCTGTGTCACCCAAGGCAGAGACATTGCTTCAGCACGAAAATCACAGATTATTGCATTTGACTCGATTATGAAGTAAGTTGACTCTGTTGAACGCGAAAATTGGCTACAAAGGGAATCATCACACAAACCTCTTGATTGTCAAAAACTTAAATTATTTACTGGAAAAATTTCGAATTCAAGATACTTGCTCACGCGAAAACAAAATCCAGCTTTTGCCATCAACATTAAAACAGACGAAGTAAAGCTTCACACTATAATACATACTTTAAAAAATTATCTGAAAAACTGCCATATATTTCCGTGAGGCTAAATTTTGTAACAGTTGACAATTTGTGACGAGCGACAATTCTTAACAGTACATTCAGCTGGAACACTAATTCACGCGTAGAATTCCTCTCAATCGAATGTAAGCGCCGCGAAGCAAGCCTATTCTAGTTGCGAATGCTTGGTTACGAATTGTCGCTTGCTGGGAATTGTCGTCCTACCGTATATTTCATACATTTCAAAACTTAAGGTTTTCGAAAATATTGTACCTAATTCACACAAAAACACTTAAGATTCCAAAACACTCAATTGACAAACTCAACCAAAGAGTCACTTTTATCGAAGAGAACAGCTTTCTTTAAAGTTTTCTCATTAAACAAGAAAAAAATTTGCGATAAGTTAAAACATGGCCTAATTAAAATAAAACCTACTTATTGCAAATTTTTTTCTTGTTTGATGAAAAAACTTTAAAGAAAGCTGTTCTCTTTCGATAAAAGTGACTCTTGCTGGGAATTGTCGTCCTACCGTATATTTCATACATTTCAAAACTTCATACATGTCAAGCTTAAGGTTTTCGAAAGTATTGCACCTAATTCACACAAAAACACTCAAGATTCCAAAACACTCAATTGACAAACTCAATCAACGAGTCACTTTTATCGAAAGAGAACAGCTTTCTTTAAAGTTTTCTCATCAAACAAAAAAAAATTTGCGATAAGTTAAAACGTGGCCAAACAGCAACCGGCTATACTTATTGCAATACGGAACCCTTTTGACAGTGCATCAGTACTTAGCTACCAAACTGAAGCAATTTATCAAAAACAACTTACAAGTCTTAACTTGGATGTCAAGCTTGAAACGTAGCCAACAGACAATTGGAGAAAAGTCAATGAACGTTAAAGATCAGGGAAAAAACTTATTATTCTTGGAAGAAGTTATCGATTTCAAAATAAAAAATGTAGATCCTTAGGGCTCTTCGAGTTTCAAGACGAATTTATGATTGAACTTTTTTTGATATAATTAACTCAGTTTGAGAAAAATGGACCAATAGGCAAAGTTTTGATTTGGCTGGGAAGTTTGAATATTTAAATCCATTTTCGAAACAAGAAGTTCACGCTTTTTTGTACCATTTCCAAGTTCATTTTTGAGAACGCAATTTACCTAAATTTTAGCAGATGAACTTCGAATTAATTCAAAAAGTGATAATATACCTAGGAGCATTCAAAAAAGCATTAATATGCCTGCAAGCACAACTGTAGAAATTTGAGAATATACGATTTTTTCCTGTTAAAAAACAACAAAAGAAAAATCACCAAGACTCTTCTTCCAGGAGACCAGGAGTCTTCAATTAAAGAAAATTAAGTTTCAACAAACAAATTCCATACCTTCAAGCTCCTGGAAACTCTAGAACTTTATTTCATCAGTTTTTTTCCATAAAACTAGTCCATCTGAGGAAAATGATCAAAAGATAGTTTTTTTCTCAATGGCAATTATGAAAATTGCGATGTGCATTACAAAAAAAAAGAAATAATAACCTTTTTTGCACCTATTCCAGAGCAGAATTCGACGACAGTCAAACCGCGAAAAATCACTATTGAGCTTGAACAACTTATTTTTCTCGAGATCAATGATTTAACAATGTTTACGGTTAGCGTTAAAAATCAATAAAACAATTTTTTAAATGTTCAGAAACATTTTTTCATTAGAAAAAACAAAAAAAAGTAAATTTCTCAGAACCCAATAACAAGCACCATTTGAAACATTGAGATGTCACTCTAAAATAGAAAAAAATGCTGAGCCATGAAATTTCGCGTTGTGCAAGTCTAGCCGACAAAACGTAAGTTACCCAGGAAAACATAAGTTAACACGGGCGGAGCTGCACTTCGCAAACGTAAGCGAGAAAACGGCAAAATGGAAATCAAAAAATAAAAATAGATTTGGAAATTTTTCTATGAGCCGCAATTGAACCAGCGACCTGGAGATTACGATCAGGTCCTCGCATCTGCGGTAAGGTAGCTTGAAAATATGCAAACACTAGCCACTCATACAGCCTATAGAACAGAACAGAAACTATTAAAATGCGAAAGCTATTCATCAAAAATGCCACCAAATGGTTAAAAATTGGATAGGCAACTTAACACTACGCTCGTTTTGCTAGCTCACATGTGCAATTACAATTGCAAAATTACAGTTTTTGACCAGACTCGAACCACCGGTCTTTGTCGTCCCACTTACATGACTTTACATTCGCTCAACCAGGGCAAAATTAGTTGCCGTAAATTAATTTGCTTTTAAGAAAGCTGTGCAGCGCAGAGGAGTCCAGTGAGCAAAAAGTTTAGTACCTGGCTGCATTAGCCTTGCTAATAATCACCCAAAACAAAATGCAAGATCGTGAAACGAAAAAAAAATCTTTCAAATCATGAATCCAATTTAAAAATTTATTATGGAAATTTACACATTAAGCTGCTATAACGACAAAGCATAACTTTGAAGCCATTGGTCGACCAGAAACTGCTTTGAATAAACAGTCACATATTATGCTGACAAAATATCCTGATAGTCGTCAAATCAAATGTCATTTCGAAAAAAAATTTAGATGGCTTGTTTAAGACATAATACTCACAGAAGGACGATGAAATTTCTCGCAGGAAAAAACATAGAACAGAGTTGCAATACCATTGCTGATCACAATGATATTAGTCTCCAGAATTAAAGTCTAATCCTTCCGACTTTCCCTTCGGTCTCCGAAGGACAAGCTTTTGCTCATAAATACTCCTTTTCTCAACTTTCTATAAAATTTGATATTTTTAGTGCTAAATTAACATTTAACTTTTCTGACAATAAAAAACTGCCTGTTTTCGAACCATAGATTATTTCTACATTATTTCCTTTTTACAATTATACACAAAGCAAAGATTTTTTACAAAACATAAATGCTTCAAAAATTAAATGCTACTTATATTACAATAAAAACATAAATTGCGCGACATAAATGCTAGTTTTAAGCACTATACACATTACACAATTCATTATTAGCTGGATTAGCATTAGTTTTTGTTCACCTTGGTGAATATTTTTTGCGACCTATCGCCGTTCACCACTCATCGTCGTCATCTTCAACCACTTGCATCGCCCTCACTGCTCTGATTCGAAGCGCGATCTCATCTGCAAAATTAGCCCCACCTCCCTTAAGTGGCTTCTTCTCTTTATCCTTCGCAATTTCCTCCGCTGTTCTCTTCTTCAAATTGTTTTTGTTAACTACAGACAAAAACAAAATTTGAAAAAACAACAGAAACGAAAAGCTTGCTTATGTTTACTGAAATCAACAACAACCCTATCAAATATCTCTTGATAAGAGTATCAATTGTTAAAATGAAACGTTTCTATGACAACTTTTTAAATGCAGTCCTTGTCTAAATCAATTTCGAACTCGCAAGCCCTATTAGAAATGAAAGCTCCAGTTTTATTTTAATAACTAAATCAACAATTCTGTCATTTGATTTCAATTAAGGTTCAATTTAGGATTTTCTGAAGCCAACTATTCAAGTGATCAAAAATCAATTTTCAATTTGAAATGAGCGCTAAAATTCAAAAACTACTGAATCAAGCTTTCAAGTTGTTTGCTGGCTTAAATGATTTGCTATAAATGGTGAAAAGAAAAAATCGAAAGGTAATGGTAAAAGGCTATCAAGCCAAAAGACTTTGAAAAATGTAGTTACCTCGATATCCAACAGTAGTTTGCAAAGCAATACAGAAATGAATAAGCTTTCCAAATTTTGAAAAAATTTCAATCTATTTCGATTGCCTGAATAAAATAGCAAAAGAAAAGCGTCCTTGAAGCAAGCAATTCAATCAGTGGAAAGGTGAAACATTTTTGCAGGCTTTCCTTCGTTCGCAGTGTTGAGATTTTTGGAAGCAAGATATTCAAGCGATATATCTTTGAACCAATTCAGTTTAATGTGACGGATTAAAGTGATTCGTGACAAAGTAAGAAGCAAGCTATGCTCCCATGAAACAACCATTTTTCGAGGAATTGAATTAGCGGACATTTATTAAGTTTTTGAAGCAAAAAAAATCAAGCTGTTCAAGTTTGAAAAATTTCAATTTAAATTGATAGCTTCAAGCGGTAAGGTATAAATACAAAAGTTTTTGCAGGCTTTTTTTGACGTCTTGAATTGGTTAGCAAAAAGTTGTCTCCTTGTTGCAAGCTCATCAAAAGAATGAAAGATGATCTATTTTAAATTATTATGATACAAAAATTGATTGAATAAGTCGATTATTTAAAATCTTCTGACAATTATTTCGTCATGTGCAAGCTTCTTCGCTGTTCTAATGTTAGTTTTTAGTATTTTATTTTTCTAACTTTAAGATAACACTTTAAAATATCTTGAAAGTTTTGGCTATTATTGAACCGATCTGGTCGTAATAGCATAAATCGGAAGCTAATTGAACGGAGCAGCAGAAGGGTATTTGCCTATATCTTCTAACTGATGTATCTTCCAAAAAATTTAACTTCATTTTTTTTTGAGAAAATTGAATGTTTTTTTATGACATCAATCTGGTATTCAATTGGCCTCTATGGATTCCAAAAACAATTTTCTCTAAAACAAGTTATCAAAGGATTGAATTTCAAACTATGGCTCTTTTATTAGCTTGGAAGCAGCAAAACGTGAAAAAAAACACCAAGCAAGCTTTCAACTAAGTAAGAGTTGAAAGATACTAAAATGTTCTGATAACTCTAAAGGCTCCAAGAAAGGTGCTTTACTCTTTTATAGCACTCCTTTCAAGCCTCGAAGTGTGATAGTGGGGCCCTGTTAAAACATGTATCAGAGAGGAGTCCCGCATAACTACAACAAAAGTGTAGCTCAATAATTCAAAAGACATTTATCGGTCCTAATTAAATTGCTTATTCGCTTAAAATTGTTTGGTAGCTCAATTACTTCGTGATGCCTTGCTTACCCAGCATTGTCTTGCGCTGCCCTGCCTAGCCGTGCACTGATCTGCCTTACCCTACATTCCTTAGTTATTCCTGCCTTGCTTGGCGCTGCTCTCGCTTGTGTGCGCAGTCCTGCCTGACACCTTTTCCGCAGCCCAGAGCTTCGTTTATTTTCGCTACTTTTGCCCTATCTTGCGCTGTCCGTCTTGCACTGCGCTACCTTGCCTGTGCTGCCTTGAGCTAAGTTGCTCTGCTTTCCTTGCGCTGCCCAGCCATGCTTTTCCTTACCATGCCTTGCTCCTCTTTGCCCTGCCTTGCTCCTCTTTACCCTGCCTTGTTCCTCCTTTTTCTGCCCTGCCCTCCTTGGCTCTACGCAGCCTTGCCTTGCTTTGCGTTACCTGGCCCTGCATGGCCTTGCCTGCCCTGTGTTGCACTGCCTGCGCTGCCCTGCCTTGTTTGCACTGCGCTGCCCTGCTTTGCGTTACCCTGCCATGCTTCTCTTTGCCCTACCCTGCCATGCTCCTTTTTGCTCTTCCCTGCATTTAGATGCCCTGCCCTTTCTTACGCCGCTCTGCCTTTCCATAATCTGCCCTGCCTCGCTTTATGCTGCCCTCCCCTGCTTACCCCTTTGTACACTGAAATGCCCTTCTTCCCTTGCGCTACCCTGAGCTCAAAACTTCAAGATATTTGCGCTGATTTGCCTTGCGCCGCCCTGCCTTGTTTTCCTATGCTCTGCCCTGTCTACCACTCCTTGCCCTGCTTCGCCTTGCGCTGCCCTGCTCTCAGCACTTCAAAACAATCAAGTCTAAACATTTGACCTTTCCAAACACGTTTGATCAAGAAACTTTTATCAGGAGTTAGCTCAAATCGTTCAGTGAAATGTTACGATTGTCGAAACGTTAAACAAGGCCCCCATAGCAATTGAAAACGATAAACAAATACATATAACAAGATACACGACCCAATGAGGAGACTGGAATAAATGCGGACTTGAATGGAATTCACAATCTTAAGGTGCTGAATTTGGGAAAATTGTATGAGTGCTTTGTTTAATAACTGTCCTAGTTAGCTGAATGTAATAAAAATCCAACTTACATCCAGCAAGTTGAGACAGCAAATCGCTGCTTCCTCCTTCGCTGCTCGGTTTGCTCTCACTTGCTGACGGGGCACGTTTTAAATCAACGCCTCCTTGAATCTGATCCAGTAGACTTTTGCCTCCAGCATTTGACACAGATGGCTTTGGAGTTGAGCTTGCTCCACCTGGAGGCGGGGGAGGAGGTGGTGGTGGTGGCGGTGGTGGTGGACCACCGCCTCCGACCTTCGGCGGCGGCGGTGGCGATGGTGGTGGAACCCCGCCTCCTGCAACAGACGGTTGCGGAGGTGCTACAGTTGCTTTAATTGGCGGTGGCGTGGGTACTCCAGTTGCTTTAATTGGCGGTGGCGGAGGTACTACAGTTGCTTTAATTGGCGGTGGCGGAGGTACTACAGTTGCTTTAATTGGCGGTGGCGGAGGTACTACAGTTGCTTTAATTGGCGGTCGCGGAGGTACTCCAATTCCTGGATTGGGAGGGGGCACTGGAGATGGCGGCGGACGAGTAGTTACCATTGATGGCCTTTTAGGAAGCGTAGGCGGCTCTGATTGTGGAGGCGGTGGTGCCACTGAATTCACACGTGGATACATTTTAGGATCCAGAACAAGAGAAGCTGGGCCCGGGGAGTGAGACTGGTTGGTTGGACTCGGAGGCAGCATCGGATTTTTAATCGGAGGTGCTGGATCATGTGGTTTTACAGATTCACTAGGAGTTGAGCTTCCCCTCCGCACTTCTGACGGTCTCCTCTCTGTCGCAAATGCACCCTCTGCTTTGTTTCTGTTCAGCCTTTCAAGACGTATCTCGGCAGGAGTCAGTGCCGTCATTGGTTTTTTACGTTCTGGCCTTCTTTCCTAATCAAATCAACAGTCAAACAGCTGAAAAGCATAAATATTATCCCTTTTGATGGCATGCCAGCACCCTTCATTTAGTCAACTTGACAGCATCCACTTAACTATATCTGGCTTTTGAGCTAGTACATAATTTCAAAAACGTCGGTCTTTGACAAGAAAATGGAGTCAGCAGTCGATTTGCTAGATTATCAACAAGAAAATATGCTGATTTATCGAAAAATAATTTTGGCTGTTAATACGCCCCTCAAGAAAATTAACATGAGTAAAGATCGTCATTTTTTTTCATTCAGAAGCGGATCTACAATTTCTCAAAGAGCGAGGAGAGTTATAAAAAATAAGAAGTATTGTCGACTTTTAAGCTTTGTCGGATTAGAATCTGAGGTACTTAAAAAAGGGTTAAAATGACAAAAAGTGGAATAATCGATTTCAACGGTTGCTTTGCAGTTGGTTTCGATTAAATTTTTCAACCATGAACTCACGCTTCAATTATTGACAAACCATTTATGGTGTTTTAGTCCGCCTAAGTATAATATCCAAACTGCGATCTTTCGTACCGAAGTCCATCAAATATTCATCCAGTAGCGGTACTGGCCAGTATCAAATATATGCCAGGAAGCCAATATGGATTGCTAGTTTATGATGAAACAAGTTTTTCGAGGCTCTCACAAATTTTGATGATGCAACGGATTATCATCATCGTGAAAAATCGAATACCATTACAGCATTCTTTGATAATAAAATTCAAACCATACGTGATCTTTATTATGTTATTGTATTGCTTAAATTTTCTTTCAATTAATCAATTTAGATTAACGTTTTTCTAATTTCTTTGAATACGCGGAAATATTTTTCTTATAATAACACAGCCAACTGACATAACTTCGAAATTAGAAATCGATCACGTTTTTCGTGAACTTTAATTTTTTGCTGTTTGATAGTGGAGTTTGCCTTCCTTTTTACAAAGGAAATGAAACAACTTAAAAAGGAATTAAAAGACAAACCATGAAAAATCAAAAGCGACCGTGAACAAATTTTAGAAAGACCTGTTTTAGGGTGACCGTGAAAAAAAATCAGCAAGACCTATATAAGAGTATTCACTACGTTTATTAATCTTAACAAGAAAATCGACAATTCTTGCATATGTTTCCCCCTTTTCGATTCGCCCATTGGCTAATATAGGTTCTAAGTTATTGAACCTAATGAGTCCAAATAATCTATAGACCACAAGTTTTTTTAAGAAATAAAAGTATTGCCGAGCTTTGTTTAGATTGAAAAAATATGTTTTTACTCTCAGGTACCGCTAAAAATTTACTCGGCGGGGACAACTCGTAAACAGATTAAATAATTTTTGTAGTTCGTCGTGATTCAACTTTTGTTTGATATTAGGGAAATAAACTTTCTACGATATGAAGACACAAACACTAATCTATTTTCGTACGCTTTTTTATTTACAAAAACTGAATAGCTTTTTGAAGTTTTTTTTGGAATATGTATCTTTCTATCGGCAAAAAAATTATGGCCAGTTAGTCAAAGCATGATTTGGTAAAACAGTACCAAACGGATTGGGTGGCGGGAGATTCGAAAAAAAGACCAGGGCGCATAAAAAAGGCCCAAGAATTTTGCTCAGTATAGCTGCGGGGGCTGGTATGTATGTTAACTGTCCTTTTTAAGTAGAAAATGGTGCGACCAAAGCAAGCCTTAAATTTCAACTAGTCTAGTATGCATTGGTGCCACATATAAAAGCCTCATAAAATTCTATCGTGTAAATCTGATTCTAAATATTTCTCTTCAAGCTTTTATGTCTCATGCAACTTACAGGGACGGTCCCCGTTTCTTCATCCACCTTCTCATCTTTCTTCTCCATCTTGCGCGTCATCTCATCCACCCAGATGCGGAAGAAAAACTCTGAGTCCGTGTACTTCTTCGTCAGCGAAACCTCGCCCTCCCTCAAACGAAAAGCTCAATTTTTTCACTTCAAATCAAAAGTCACATCAAAACCTGCAAAAACTTTAGATATCTTTTAGTGAATAGTAGTTGCAAAACTTTTAAAAAAAGAAACAGTACCACCCCCCTTCCATTTCATAATTGTTACTGGCATGACTCCATGCTCAGGAAACAGGTATATTTTCCACCACGCAGTTATGGGCATCAACAAGTCTAGTAAAAGCCCTGAACGCGTGCGTTCTAAACGCCTCCTGCATCATCAAAAAATCGTTGTTAACAGCACTCCGCTGACTGAACCGGATCGCTTTCTTTACCTCACTGCAATTGTAGCGAGATTTCGCGAAGACCAGAGAGTTAATTACCCCGAAATCAAAGCAACAATGTTCAAATCAGACTCAAGCCCCAAAATCAGCCTTCCTTGCCATTCCTATGAAAGGACAACATCCAGCCAATAACCCATCTCTGCACCCGAGACATCTTTGATGCAGCGGAGTCGCCTTGCATGCCTTGCCACACAACCCCACAAGACAAAGCGCCAAAGACCAGAAGCTCTTGATTTCGATACAGATAATAGAAAAGAACAAATGCAGTGATAATATCTAGAAAACAGACGTCACTCAGCGCAAATTACTGAAGTGTGTTTCTTCAATCTCCGACTCATTTGGAATAACAATGCCACTGGAATAACGATGCAGCTTCTTGGTTAAATTTGGAATAACGAAGCAGCTTCTTGGCTATAGCGGTTGATTTGGGATCCTCATCCGTTTGAGGCTTACTACTTGTTCCATTTCCTAGATGATTTTGAATTCCGTTGTTTTAAGGGACCCTGACGAAGGCCAGGGCAAACTCCGCGACTTCTCTGAAGACGTGAGGTAGAATGCTAGTGAAGTTGAATGTTATTGATCGTATTTCCTGTTTCGAATTTGATTCATTTCTATCCAATCGTTAAGGTCCTTTGGAAGCCCAGACTGAAGAGTTTACCACATTGGTCCGAGCGAGTTGAAATTAATATCAAAAACGAATCTCGATATTAATTTCGACTCGTTCGGACCAATGCGATGAAATCCTCAATCTGGGCTTCCAAAGGACCTTAACGATTGGATAGAAATGAATCAACTTCGAAACAAGAAATACGATCAATAACATTCAACTTTACTAACATTCAAGCTCACGTCTTCAGAGAAATATCGGAGTTTGCCCTGGCCTTCGTAAGGGTCCCTTAAAACAACGGAATTCAAAATCATCTAAGAAAAGGAACAATTAGTAAGCCTCAAACGGATGAGGATCCCAAATCAACCGCTATAACCAGGAAGCTAAAAGTGAACGATTTGATAAAGAACAAAATCGAGCTCAAAAAATGACACTGGACTATTAGAACTATTGAACATTGAATCAACTTTCCAAATTAGCGCCACCTGATTTTCATCGACAACCGCCTTTATTTCATCTTGAATTCGAAATCTCAACTGGATTGGAGATGAGGACCCAGCAATGCCAGCCCTTTTTACAATGAAACAGGTTGATACAGAGCATGTGACATGATAACCGATACCCCAAGGATCAAAGGAGCAATCTTCAAAAAAAACCTCACCAGAATTTCCCGGCTATCTAGAAGCAGAACCTTCGGTCCACACGCTAATGAAAAACAGGCACAGTCAGACGTCAAAACCAATAATTTACTACAGCTCCTTTAGCACATGGAAGCAAAATCTGAAAGTGAAATCGTTTGTCAAGCTTTGCATACACTATCTGAAAGCAAAAAGACGCCGCCAACTCGAAATACAGAATTAAGCCAATGAATTTAGCCAAAAAACTAAGGCAACATTGAAATATCATTGAAGCCAACTGCATCCTCAATCGAATTGAACCAGTTCAGATAACCCGAATGAAATAGTGGGTATCAAATGCAAAGTCCATCGCCTACCACTCTTTCGGGATTCTAGGAAGATTTTGTAAAATATTAGAAGATACCTTTTACAAGGTAATCAGATCGCGCTCCCTCACTAAAAAGCTTTGTTTTCTTTAATCTACGAAGTAGAAGTAGTCACAAAAGCTCTTATTCTGATACACGATTCATCAGACTCGAGGGACCCTGAGCCTCTGATTCCGAACAATTTTCCTCTTGGACGACTTTCAGTGACCTTGGCATCTGAACTATTTCAGCCACGACATGTTATGAGCTCGACATCTTGATACAAGCTCAAGACCTCTCCTAGTAATTTTGGAAACGCATCCGACAATAATTCTTGCCAAATTTCAGTCAGAAAATAAAACAGACAAAACCCGCCGACAACATAAAACGAGGAGTTTGGAATCCAGAAGACACACAACATAATAATAGAGCTAAATACCGTGAAATTATGACGTTAATTGTGAAAGACAAATCTTTCACAATATTAAAAATGTTTAATTTTTGACTAATGAACAAACTACCACAATATTAGATAAGTTTTCAAAAATAATAAGTCAAATTTGTGTATGTGGGGGGACGGGATTGGGGTGAAAAAGCGATAAATTTCATGACCAGGTATCAAAGCGTCATCATATATGTTTTGATGGAAAGAGTGATTCAGTCAATTGAAAATAATGGATCCAACAGAGGGAATAAAAATCTGACCTGTTCCATCTGTGGACGTCTGGTGGTAAGTCACATTCTTGTAACATGTTCTGTATGGCCACTGGTCTGTTCTCGGCAGACATGAATGTCATGCGATTGGAATCCCACTCATCAGTAGCGAACAATTGTCTGCGGTTCACTTTCAGAAAACTCACTGAAAAAACGTGCGTAAGCCAATTCTCCAGCAAAAAACCTTATTATTTTTGAGGTGAAATAAAGCTGCACTATTTTGGAACACATTCATTACTTACTATTTAGTTAGTTTTTAATCAATCTCCCAAATTCGTATCGAGTAAAAGGACAACTTGAGAGTACGATTCAAATTTTTTCCTTTTGTTGAACTCGCTCAAATGTACCAACTACATACTCTGAACAAATAAACGGTGATCTCTCTTGAATTAGTTTCGAGATATCAACTCCATGTTTCGAAGGATTCAAGGCATCAAAGAATTTTAAAATTTTATGATGATTTGCCCACCTAAAATGAACTTTCTGCATAAAAATTGTGGATTTCTTTAACCGCACAAAAAAAATCAGCAATCAAAGTAAGGTTCTAATTGCGAGTCATCATATAGAAAGGAGCGTAAATAGTACCACTTATTGTTTTGAAACATCTCGTCCTAATAGCTGTTTTTTATTCCAAAATTGAAGTACCCAAGAATTTTTTTACGGCAAATCGAGCTCGTGAAGTTACCCATCATTATATTTACAGACATTTTCGTCCAATTTTTTTTGACCTTTTCGTCCAAAAGCGTTCTATAATTTAGCTTTGTCAGAGATTCACGTCAAGTGTGAATCAAAAATTGAAAAAAATGCAGGAATACAAATGAGGTTATCCGGTCGAAGATTGAAGGGGCCTCGAAGTGATTGAGGTTTTATATTTAAAAAGTAAGCTCAATTTCTAACGGGTTAAAAAGGAAAATTGTTTACGCAATAATAATCCGACAGTGAATGCGTTGATTTTTGATGAAAAAGTTATTACCATAACTAATCACTAAATATTCCTACCAAAACCAAAAAATGATCACTCATTTCTCATAAAAAGCTAAGGTTTACTTTTAATGGCTGAAAAAAAAAGAAACGAAATCATTGAGCAAATGAAGACTATCTTGTCTCCAAGTTTGATTTCTAATACTCGGATAACAGTTTATAAAAAGTTGAAACTCTCATTGAGCCAGTCAGAGAAAACGATTGGCAAGGACACTGACACTTTGTAAAAAGCCAGCTTTACAGGAGTTTTTTCTTGGAATTGATAGCTTCAATCTGATTGAGTTTCCCATCTCGCATCTAACAGAATGGAAGATTAAGTTGCATTTACCGAAGCGTAAAACCCAATAATAACAAAAAATTTTAATACTGAATCTTAACACAAAGACTTTTAACTAATTTTAACGCACAGGCGAAGCTTCGCTTCGCAAACACTAGCAAGAAAACGACCAAAAAGTAGTACGAAATTCGTCTAGGTATCGGATTCGATCTGCGGCCTACTTCAATCTAGAGATTATGAGACTCACGCACTAACCAATCAGCCACGCACTCTTAATGCATCAGAAACACTAGCCACGAATAAAGCAAAAAAGAGATGCTATGTTAGATTGTGATTATAGCAAAAGTGCCACCAATAAGTAAACAATTTCCACTTTCAATGAAGACTGTTATTTACGAGTTGGGTTAGTAAAAAGACGGTTCGTACAATTACACTACGCTGATCGCTAAACTAAATAAGCAAAACAAGAAAGGGCGTTCACACAAACTCTTAGTTATATAGGAAAACTTAAGTGAGCTCTTTTCACAATAAAGCTGACTTGCATGCTTGCACATGTTTAACGTCGGTATCGCGAGAAATGACCAAAAAGAGCGATAATTTTCGAACAAACTACTAACTTTATATTTTCAACTATTCAATAGGACAGACAGGAATGTCGAAATTCTAGCTGACCAAAAACGTTACCCTGAGGCTGAAAGAACTGTGATCATATTGAGGAGGAAAACAAACTCAGGAAACTCGAATGAATTTGGATAGTGAACAGCTGAATTCTTCTAAAAAGTGTATCAAAAAAGAAAAAAATTTGCTGCACGAATAAAAAACCAATCTTCAAAACCTTTGCAAGTAACTTCAAGTTCAATTTGTCTAAACGTAAAAAATCTCACCTTACTGAATTCATAAACCCGATGAACTCTGCAACAATCATTCAATTTTTGCATCTAAAAATTTAAAATCCAAAAAAAAAAACAGTTTATTCTGTCACCTAAACGAGGCTGTAAAAAACAACAAGGACTTTGAATCCCAATCAAGCAGACAATGAAACAACAGCAAGTAGCAGCACGAGAATGCTCAAGCCAACACTACATTTTTTCATCAATAGATCGCTCCACTGCTCCAAAATACAGCGCAAATAAACCATAAATATTATAAAAAAGGGCCTTAAACACTGCCATACTAACACAGTTAAAGGTTACATCGAGAACTACCCTTGCAAAGTTCTCAGCTCAAAATGGGCTCAATCTGAAAGGCTCGATCTTTACGCCTGGTAAAAATTTTCTCAGCTGCAATCAGCACACTCTCCCTTGCTGCTTAATACCTGAGTAGGTTAGACCCTAAAATACCCTATGTCTGTGGAATCTGTACGCAAGGCCATTATGATGTCAATCACTCATTTAACTGTCGAGGCAGAACGAAAGATCCAGACATCCTCAGTCTCTGGACTGACCCCCTCTGTAGCTGATTTTCTTCGGATTACATAGCACGGTGAGCGTGCAAGCTAAACTTGCTTCAAGAAATAGTTAGGGGATGGTGACCTCACAACAGGACAAAACGAGCGACACAGTTAGATGAATCTTAGTGTCAAAGCGATATTCAAGTAACCTAAAAATGTGGTATGCCCCAAATATCCCGTCGGGGGCCAACGACACTGGACCAGACGAAGCCCCCTCAAACAACCTTCCTCTCCTCTGGAGATGAATGTTTATCAAGAAAAAAAAACAGAACGCGCTACCTATGAAAAGAGACGAGGCCATAAAAACAACATCAACATGGTGGAAACTTATTTATTCAATTCTTTGTCAACAAACGTTGAGTAAAAACTACTCGAAGCAGCTACTAACCAAAAACTGTTACGTTGGCTAAGAAAATGTTGCAAACCAGTATTAAGATTATAATTTATCAAAACTCATCGTCAATTTTCTCAACACTCATCGTCAATTTTTTTCTTGGAAAACAAACCAGCACTGAAAAAGCATTTCATAATATATCAAGCAACCCGACGTTTAATTGTGTTATCTTATTTTGAGTGAAAATGAACGCTTTGTATGCCATAGATTGCCCAGTAGTCCAATCAAAAATATGTTTCAGTTCAGAAGAAGATATTTGTCAATCAAAAATTAGTAGATCAAAAATTTTTTCAAAAAAATTCACTTGACAAGCTCTATTTGCACTATTAGAAATATATATAAAGTTTTTACCGAAGAGGGAATGAATACTCGCAAGCGTAACACGAAAGAAAAATTGCAAAAAAATTTTGAAATTTTTTGAATTAAAATATTTGTGCCACTAGGAATATACTAAAAGGGTCTAAGATATTTTAGAAAAAGCTGCAACTAGAGTGACAACAAAAAAAACAAAGAGACGGATTATAACCCACAGAGGTATATTTTAAAGCAAAGCTGATCTCACCTTCGCTTTGAGTTTTGTACAATTTGCTCACATCTGAGTCGGCCTGTTTGATCCTTTCTTCAACTCGCTTCACTCTCTGCTTAATTGCTGCTGATTGCGTCATCAGTTGCTGCAACACATCCTGTGCGGTGAAGCTCAAGTCCGACAGCTGAAGCAGGACCTGTGTGTAGCAACTGTTAGAATGGTCTTCCCATTGAGTTGGATCTGGAAGCGAGAGGTTGGCAGGTCCGATAGTTTTAGATGCAAAAGGCATTTTAATCTGAAAAATGTAAATCAAAGATTGAATTTCAAAAAGCAGAGGTTGAATTTTACTAGTGATTTTCTAAAATCTTCAGCTTTTTTGTTTCATTTCATCTTCAGTTAACTAGTGAGAAATAAAAATGGGACAGAACTTTTTGCGGGTTCCAAATGCTACACAGAAGCGAAGCCGAGATTCACTTGCAATAAAACACAAACAAAGCATGACAAACTAGCCGTCAGAAAATAAGACCAGGACGGTACGTCGAACAAAAATGTCGAAAAAGTTAGATCTACAAAAATATTTGTACATTTATCTCGATTTGTCTTGAATAAAACTCGTTGTGGGGAAAAACATACCAATTAAGACAACTGCAAATTAAATTAGCTTCGAAACAAAATAATAGGCAGTGAAAAGGCCGACGATACTTGAGCAGACACCTTAAAAATAGTTGTCAAGACACCTCCTCAACAACACACACGCATAGGAAAGTTTTCGTTCAACGAACGAAGCAAAATGAAGCCATTAGGCCTAAATAACAGAGATCGACTTATATCAAAGTAAAGAGTGGCTATATTTTACTGTTTTTAGGACGTGAAGGTTCTTTAATGGGAAAGACCTGATAAATGGTTATTACACTATATTACAAAACTCTTGCTAATGGCGAATGGTTCCTCCTTTAGTCGTATAGTCCTGTCATTTTTAGTGATTCCCAATCAAGAAAACTTGTTTAGAAAGGTGTTCTCACGCGACAAACAATTGAACTGTACTTCCAGTAGATATAAGCAAAAGCAGTACTTCAAGATAAAACCAAAAAAAACTTGAGCGTGAAGAAGTAGTCTTAATTTGATTGAGTAGCATTGCTGCCATATAACCTCTACATATAAAATGTCATACTGATTTGTGAAATTAGTACCTGCCGAGCGTTATGGCTTTTGGCCCATATTGCTCATTTTTTAGTTCACTTTCAACTCATCAATCGATTGATAATTCAAGTGATCTTTTAAATCTGGTTTAACTCAAAATTTAACACTTAGAGTGGCCTAGTTTAAAATGCTTAAACACACCTCCTTGTAACCCTTGTTCCTATGTTTCCTAACTAGGACCTTACACAAAAATTCTTTACCTGGCGCAGTCAAGCGAAACGATCCTACATTTGGAAACACTCGACCAACGAAATACCTCATGAATGGGTAAAAGGGCAGAAAAATTTTATCTACAATTACAGCTAAAGACGAGGTAGTCATTGATGATGTCATACGTATGAGGCAGAACCTGTGCTGGGCAAATTTATCACAAAAATGAGAATCGTAACAATACAGAAAACTATGTATAGAATACCTATCCCCCGGAAAAGTTTTAACATACGTACATGTACAAGAAAAAGGAACCAGAATTCAACAAAAATATCTAAGCACTCCAGTTTGCGCACTACCCAAACCAAAATTTCGACGCAGAAAAGACACAAGTCGCAACATCCAAAAGTGCCTAAACTGAGGTCGACCAATCAAGAAGGGTCATCTCTCAGTATGTTCTACTGAAGAGAAATCATGTAATTATGGCAGACGTAAGGGACACTTTGCAAAACTGAAGAGCGGAGGCAAACCTTAGTTCAAACAAACATCGTTTGTTTAAATCGTGTGTTAATCTTTTATCATAAAATGGGCACAGCGAGAAGTTATCAATATGTTGCTAGAATTCATTTATAGGCTAGCAGCCAAAGAAATTTGAACATAGTGGGCGAAGACGTCACAGGATCGTACCGTTTTAAAACAGGATTTGAAGGACAGGGGAAAAATAATTTTAAGGGAAAAAAGTTCGGGAAATCAACTGAGAGAATTGAAGCCGACATCCATTAAGCTGATGTCAAAACTCAGCCGAAAACTTTCTTAAAATTCATGAAACGCCCACATAGGATCCCAGAAACATTTTTGTACCGTATGCAAAGTACAGTACATAACTAAGAAAATAAACCGACATAGCTTCCCATATCAGATTGGGAGCCTCAATTGAAAAAAAAACACCATGATAGCGTGCGGAACACGTAGCATTCGCATTCACGTTCACGCTCTTAAACGTAACAGAGCCAAAAATCAGCACCAGTGAGTTAGAGCTGCTCGGTCTGGTATGGTCATACAATCATTCTTAAAACTACTTGCTGGTAATTACTTGCTGAGTGATCACATTTTAGAAGTTTACCGGACTATTAAGCATTGATTAGAGCAAAACGTGACCGCCGATACACAAAAAAGACCCAATCAAGATTAACAAGATAGGCTGATAAATCACTACCGTATGACTTTTCGGGGTCGAATATGTGCCAGGAAAAGGTCTGGGTTTTGTTGATAACCTTTCATACCACCCAACAAATAAAGCGACTCCCTTCTCAGATGATGATAGAAACATTGCGATAGTACCAGTAGAAAACAGACCTTCTTTAAGGATTTATAAAGTCATGAGAAAATTTGCACCAAATAACTATTAAAAAAAACAGTTCATTTCTAATAATAATCGAACGAATTCTGCAACGTGATTGGTCAAAATAGTGAAAACAAAACCACCAGATAAATCTAATGAGAACAACTAATTAAATACGCTGCTGAACAGCTCCCAACTATACAGGATTGCGCGAAACTGAACAATTGTCAAAGCTTTCACTGTCGTAAAGAAATGTACTCAACAGACTGTAAAAAGTTAACTTCTCTTTTGACCTCCGAGCTTTTTACTTCATCAGTCTCAGACTCTACTGGGGTAGAAGATATAACCCCAGCAAACAACGCAACTCAATTTTCCCAATACTACCCATAACCCGAAAAAAAACAGAAACGCAAACAAAAAAAAATCTCCTTGAAGTGGCCGGAAAAACTTGATGCCCGACTCATGGCCTTATTAACTGATAAAGATTTAGCGGTGAAAAAGATCCAGAAAGCTTTGATTGAGAGCCGCAATTAACAATTGCCAAAAAAGGGAATTATTTCAAAAGTTACATGGATAATTTACATGAGAAAGTCGGATGCCTACACTTCGATGGATGACTAATGATCCACACATGCTTGAGACCCGCGATCACTGAAAGACTCCTTAAAGGCCAGCCTGCCCAATTTGCAAAGAAAAATTTAGCCCTTCAATACGTTTGGTGGTGCAAGATCTAATGCGAGATCCAGGTTCACGGAGAAAACTGTATCGATTGCGTTCAAACTGATAAGAATTTAAAACCACTAGTACCTTCTTCAGATATCGGTAAACTGCACCCGATAGTACAGCCAAATGAAGGCCAGGAACTCAATTTGGCCAGACCGTTACCATAAAGTGGAGAACAAAAAATTACAAACTTGTATACATTGATCGTTCTGTGGAAGATGGTCCGATAACACCAAAATCGGTTTCAGCAAAATCGCCCGGCATTAAAGAAGAATCCCCGGGAGCCACAAAGAGAAGAGCACAAGACCAATAAGATCAAGACAACCATCGCAACTCTTGGTAAACAGAGAATGTATCAGCTTGGTGTAAGGAGACTGATGAATGCCCGTGGATGCTTTCGAGACCGCGACACCTAGGACACACCTTCTGGATCCGGTCACCGAGGAAAAGCCTCCAAAGATTTTATGTATTGCAGCCTCGACGACTCCGCCCGATTCGAGTTCCATGAATGCTCGGGCGACAACAAACCGTCAATGTTCTCCAAAGAGAACATCTTTTCGTTCATTGGTGGCTACTGTTTCCTTTAGCCCTACAGACGCTCCCTCTCAACATTCTGCTGTAGACATGGCACCAAAACTGCCAAAAACTGATAACTACCTAAATAAACTGTTATTTTCGTTTTATTTTGCAACTTATTGATAACCTATCAGCCAGTAGTAACCATTAATTGTAAGTTATTACCAAATCTGGTTCCTTAATTACCACTTGGATCGCAGATTCCTGTTTTGAATGCCCATCACAGGTGCTAACCATTTTCCGTTTGGCAATTTAAAAATTAATTTCAAAATTTCAATTCCAGAGCTCATCTCTCATTTACTTCAGAAACACTCATAAATGAAGCGAACTATTTCTCTACCATTAAACTTTATTATTATTTTTTGATTACTTCCACCTGCTGAAAAGAAAATGAAACCAAAATTTCTTTTGGTCATATATTTTCAATGGGTATGTAAAGTAGTTGTAATTAGGCCTGTGCAGCAGTGCTGCCACTTAAACTCTACAGAGGATATGTCATACTGATGATTGAAATTAGGGCTCTTTTTCCTCCTCCTCCTCCTCCTCCTCCTCCTCCTCCTCCTCTTCCTCCTCCTCCTCCTCCTCCTCCTCCTCCTCCTCCTCCCCCCCCCCCCCCCCCCTGCTTAATTGATAGTCGTGTGAGGTGGGGGGAAAAGGAAAAGAGCCGAAATTAGTACCTACCAAAAATCGATATAGCTTTTGGACGATGTTGCTCATTTGTTGGTTTAATTTTAACAATCGGCTGACAATTCAACTCTGTTTTAACTCTAAATTTAAAAATTAGACTAGCTTAGTTAGCTCTTCTTAAACGCAACCTTTTAACCATTGTTCCTAACTTGTCTAATTGGTACCTTACAGAGGATTTCTTTAAATGGTGGATGAGAACAGAGAAAACGGCTCTTTTACCTTCCCCCCACCCCCCCCCCCCACCTGACGCCAGTTTCAACTTATTAGTGTAACGAGTGGTTTTACGAGGTTTAGTATGAAGATTAAATGTTTTTCGTGGCCTTATTAGTCTGTATGTAAATTTTCATAACAATCGGACAATCTGGTCAACAAATTTACATGTAAACATTTGCAGGTGGGGGGAAAGGAAAAAGAGCCGAGAAAACTTGTAAGTTATTCTGAATTAGATATTCCATGGTTTAGAAAAATGAAAAAATGTCATGAATATCAATCGATTCACTACTTATTTTTGATTCATTAAAAACTTTTTAATGATATAAAATATTTCGCTTTGAAAAATTATTTTAGCTTTGACCGAAGTTAACAATTGTCGAAAAAACATAAGCCAGATAAAAAATGGTGCTGTCCGCAGCATTAAACACAAAGCGTCAATAAAGAAGTCGAGTTTTAGGAAACAACTCATTCATCTTGAACTCGGAAAACCTTAAATACTTAAGAAAGTCGGCTCCTTTCCAATCAACTTCTTTGATTTTTTCTGAAATTCGATACATACACACACATATTGTTGAACCAAAATTTTCGAATGTCTCGATGAAGGACACCTAGGGCTCACCTAAAGCTGGCGGTACATATTTGATATTTATTGAAATTGTTATACTGATGCGGGACGAAATGCGTATTTTCAAAAATTGGACTTTCCCCAAAACCTTAGTTGTTTCTCTCTTACAGTAAGTGCGAAGAGTGAAAATATTCCTCCTAAAGACTTAAACTTTCTCTTAAAAAAACAAGAGTAGAGGCTTATGCATGAAAAATTCGCGCAACTGCTTCTTTCGATTGAAACTTTCATCTCAGATTCGATAGGGTAGTTTTCAAGACAATTCAAAAAGTTTTTAAGAAACGGTCAACACTCAAAAATTTGACCTTTTCTGCTTAAAAGCAGGTCGTGACCGGTGAAGAGAAGACTAGCAAAACCAAGTTTCAATTGAACACTAAACCTGAGAAATGGCATGGTAATTTTTGAAAAGAGTAAAAAAAACACTGCCAAAACAAACGGTCCGGTTTTCAAAACTTTCATTTGTTTGAAGGCCATAACTTATTCTAAAAGAAACTGGGCGTAACAAATTATAAAGGTACACTTTCAACAACCTGTTGGGTCGATGAAACCTATGACATCAGATTTGACAGGATAGTTATCGAAAAAAAGTCCAGAAAAACAGTCAACAAAGCAGAAAGTTGACATTTTCGATTGTATCCAAAAACCTATGTCTGGCCGGGTAGTTCTCGAAAAACATCAAAAAAACTTCAAAAAACGGTTAAAAAAAATTTTGACTAATGTTCAAATCAAAAAAATTTGGGAGTAGTCTTGTATGCAAAAGAGCTTTCCACAAATCTTAGATATGAGAGGGTATTTATGGTCAAATTCTAAAAATTGGCTCTTTTCCAGTCCCCCCCCCCCCCCCCCACCTTTCAAAATACTGACTTTTATGTTTGTTTTACGTGTTATTACGTCTAAATGCGTGATGTTACGCTGTAAAGTATGAAGAACAAATTTGTTCAGAATTGTCGATTTGTTCACCACGCCAAATTTCATTGCATTATGACAACGTTAAATAAATTTTTCAAAATTGAATCGGAAAGGGGGGGAACTGGAAAAGAGCCTTAAAATTTAGAAAAAAAAATCGCTCGAAAAAACACAATTTTGACTTTTGCGAGGACAACTTTTGGTGAAAAAATGTCGGTGGCCACTAAAGCAGGGGAGGTTCTCAATACCCGTTATCTTCATTGAACCCACAACTTCAGGATTGGGAGGTTTGTTTTTGAGAAAAAATTAAAAAGATTCAAAAGACGTTTAAAAAAAATAAAAATTATTTATTCTCAGGACCATAATTTTACGTGAAAAAAAATTGGGCATAACCACTTATGGAGAGGAGCTTTTCAAATCCAATCTAATCGGTGAAAACAAAACATGAGATTGGGTACGTTAGTTTTTGAGAAAACGAAAAAAAACTTGAACATAAGATTTAAAATGTGTTTTCATGTTTAAAACTGCATCACAACGTGTTAGCGTGAACGGCCGAATAAATTTTTACATTTCCTTGCATGCTTAACGTGTGAACAATTTTTCAACAGCTTTATTTTATAAGTTTACTAGGGAGGCGGGAAACTGGAAAAGAGCCAAAAACGTATTCGTTCATATTTCTGATTGTTATTATTATGAGGTCCCAAGTTCATCAGTTTTAATTTGATAACTTTCATGTTTATTTTACTGTCTTTGACACGTGACCATAGAGATTTTTTGGAAACATGATTAATAAAAAGATTTATCGTCTTAGCTCGTCTTCGTCATTTTAGCTCACCGTTTATTCTACTCGAACTGAAATTACCATTTTGTGTAAAACTGATTAGCCATTGGAAAACAGTAAGTTGTTCTAGCCTAAGACTTCTAGCATAAGACTAGACCAAAAAGGCTTCACTGCGATAATTTTTGGGCTTGCCAAAGACGACCTCTACAGAGTAATTTAAATCGACGATGCTTCGAGCGTTCCGGATAAAAACAAAAACATTTTGGGAATTCGTATGTCTTTAATTTAACATCATTTCTTGGTTGCTTACATACTCCAGGCTTGGTTATCAATAATTTAACACTGATTATCACCATCGATCGAATAATACCCACATGTTGAGGAGCGAAACTGCGCAGAGTCATCGAGATAACTACTGAAAACAGAATTTTAAGATTAAATCAGGTGCAAAAATTACCTTCATTAAAAGATTTAGCAAAACTAACCTGAACAACTTTTCGAAGTAAACAATGAAGAAACCAGATAAATGAAAAAACTTTCCAAGTAAACAAATTAACATAAATAAACACTCAACCAAAACTCGATTACGAATTGGTAAAGTAGTATGTTTAATTCCAGTTTAATTTCAGGAGTTATTTTAGTCCAGTTATTGAAGGTATTTATATAATAGTACCTATTTTTGAATTTTTTGATTATTTGCAAGTGAATCATTGGTAAATGATCATAAACTGCCATTGTATTATACTACTACCAGGCTAGCGAATTTGCAGATCATAAAATCCAACAAGGTTAAGAATTTATAGAATTCAGATTATAATTTAGCAAGTAAAAAGTGTCAATTTAGGAAGCAGAGCATAATTCCACACAAGATTCCAGAGGGCCTCTCAATTTTGGGTAGTGAATGATCGGCCAGTTGATTTGGTTTGATTTTGTTTGTTTTCTATTGCTGGTGCTGATGATTCAGTTGAATAAAACAAGTTTCTAACTTTCAGCGAAGAAAGCAGTTTGAGCCACCTGACAAATAAAACATTGGCTTACTCTTTTGAAAAAGCAAACTTACGTAGTATTAAAGATGTATTAAATTTTAGTATTAAAGCTGTTTAACTTAATTCTCTCGCTCATTTTCTTCTAAAATACGGTATCCAATAGAACAATAAAACTCCCAACTAACCTGTTTTGCAGTAAAGAAGATTTATCGTCATTCGCAGACAAAATTTTGCAGTCAAGAAATTACCAAGTGAGTCGAGTCAGTCAGTTTAAGTAAATTCCCGGAAAACTCCAGGAATGAAAGTCAGAAGTCAAAAAGAAGTCAAAACTCTTTGCTAATCAGTAAAAGTTTTCCCTCTGAATTCACAAAATTTAATGAAAATTCAGCCTACAAAGCAGATTTAGGGAAATTTATGAACTTAAATTGGCAACTATGATCAATTTAGAGGGGGAAGTAAGCGGTCAATTTGTTCGAAAATAAGAGTGAGTCAATTGTCGTGAACTTATTCGCTTTTGCTCAAAAAAATTATGCTCAACTTTATTAACAAAAAGAGAAAGATGTTACTGCCATTTATCGATTCCCATTTCCCGTACATTTTTAATTCAATCCTGCAAACTTGTGCTTCTAGATTCTGCAAACTTTGTACAATTTTAAGGAAACTTGAATTTCAAATAGGGGGAAAGAGCAAATATATCATAAAAATGATGTGTAAGTAGGGGACGGACAACTTTATGAGTTAATTCGGCTCGGAACATGCCCCCTCTCCTCGGGGAATCAACCCCTTCATCAGCCAAAGGCGGCTCTTTTTCCTCCCCCCACCCCCACCCCCACCTCACATAAGCATCAATTTTATGGTGTAAAGAGTGGTTTTACAAGGTTGAGTATGAAGACCAATTTGTTCATGGGGGGAAGGAAAACAGCCCCAAAGGGTCCACCTTGAGTACTAGTGGATCTTCTTTTCACTCCACGGGAACTTAAGGTGAACTTTTTCCCACAGGTGACATTTTTGCATATTTTTCCGCGGCTCTTTTTCCTTTTACCCCCACCTCAAACGAGCTTCAATATATTAGTGTTATATATTTGTTATATGTTAATGTTGATTTCAGATATTGTTGAATAAAAGCTTTATAAAGAAGCGGCTTTTCCTCCAACAATTTTATTCAACAATGAAGTTCAAGTCACCAGAGCTTCCAGCAAACCCGACACCCGAGCAGTGGCGATGGTTGAGAAAGTGCTTCACCGATGGACTGGCTATCAATGACATTACCGATGATGGTCATCAACTCATCCATCTACGTACTCAGGCCGGTTCAGATTTGTTTTCTCTTCTAGAAGAAGCAACTACACTAAATGAAGGTTTGACCATTCTTGATCGCCAGTTTAAGAAACCGACAAGAGTCCTGTACGAAAGGCATCAACTGCTGACATGTCGACAGAAGCACGGTGAGTGCGTAACTGATTTTGTTAAACGCTTGAAGGTAGCAGTTCAAAAGTGCGAATGCAAGGAGATGACTGCTAAACAACATCAAGATGCTCTTCTCAGAGATGTTTTAGTTTCTGGCGTCGAATCAGATATGATCCGGGTGCGTTTGCTCGAGCTTACAGATGCTGAGGCGACGTTGGAGCACTGCATATCAGTAGCATGTGCAGTAGAAGTTTCAAACGAGTTTTCACGTCAGTTCAAAACTGACAACAACGAAGCGACCTCATCACTTGCCTACGCAGAGGTCGAGGAAGAAAACAGCGAAGTACTCAATGCGGTTCGTAACAGCAACAAGCCTGCTCAAAAGTATAAACAAAGCACTGCGTCCGGGCGTAGAGGGTCTAGCTGTCAGTTTTGTGGGTTGAATGGCAACCACATGCGTAGAAACTGCCCTGCCCGAAATGATTCTTGTCATAAATGTGACAAAGCAGGTCATTGGGCAGCAGCTTGTAAACCAACTACGGGCCCAAATGACAATAGAAGTGACAAAGACAAAGGCGTGAATGCTGTTTTGTGTTCTTTGTCGTCCGAGACTGCTTTCTTCGATGAAGTTTTTGTTCAGAGTAAACATAAAGTTAAAGCATTAATAGATACTGGTGCTACTGGGTCTTTCGTATGCTCACCTGTTATCGAGCAGTTGAACTTGCCAATGTCTTCTCAGGTCTCGAATACTATGATGGCAAATCGAACCAGTTTGGAGTGTGTGGGATTTTCGACAGTTCCTGTTGAAATTCAAGGCCACAAGTATACTGTCACTTTCAAGGTAGTTGATCGTTTGGTTGCTGACATGATCATAGGGACTGATGTTTTAGGCGAACATACAAGTATCGAATTCAAACCAGGCGGCCACAGACAGCCAATCAGTTTCACAAAACCTTCAGGTTCGCAGTCAGTCGTATCCATGCTATCTGCCATGTTTCCAGCGCTTCAAGTAGAGCCACCAACTCTTTTCTCTGAAAGAACACTCAAGGTAGCCGAGCCTGTCCGAACGAAGTCACGTTTCTCATCACGATCGGATCGTGATTTTATGGACAAGGAAGTAGAAAGACTCTTGGAGTCAGGAATAATTGAAGTGTCGCATTCACCATGGCGTGCGCAGGCTTTCGTTGTTAAAGGCAACAATCGCAAGCCCAGAATGGTAATTGATTACTCAGAAACTATCAATAAGTATACAGAAGTCGACGCGTATCCTTTCCCTGATCCTGATTCTATGATTGATGAAGCAGCTGAATGGAAGGTTTTCTCCAAAATTGATTTGAAATCAGCTTACCATCAAATTGAAATTCGGGAAAGTGATAAACCTCTAACGTCGTTCGAAGACAATGGGAAACTTTATCAGTTTTGTCGCTTACCATTCGGAATAACGAATGCAGTACCTGTTTTCCAGAGGTGCATGGACTCTATATTTAGTGAACATAAGTTATTAAAGACGAAAGCCTATCTTGACGATGTGATAGTGGGAGGCAACGATAAAGAAGAGCATGACCAAAACCTGCACAAATTTTTAGCCGTTTCTAAGGAGCTTGGAATGACTCTTAATAAAGACAAGTGTTCGTTTGGTATAACGAAGATCAGTATGTTAGGCCAGATACTTGAGAACGGGACAAAGCGACCTGATCCAGAAAGGTTACAAACATTGATGAATTATCCTGTTCCTACCACAGCAGTTCAGTTGCGACGACTTCTAGATTTTTTTGCTTATAATGCAAAATGGGTGAGTGATTATTCAAATAAAATCTTGCCGATATTGCAAGCACAAAGTGCCAAAGGTTTTCCCCTTTCTCCAAAAGCTCTCGATGCAATTGAGCAATTGAAGGCCGACATTGCCAAATCTTCACTTGTCATACCTGAGAGCAATGGAACTCCAATCAGAATAGAAACGGATGCCTCTGGTTCTGCTATAGGAGCATCACTTTCGCAGAATGACAGGCCGATTGCGTATTTTTCGCGTACTTTATCTAATGCTGAACAGAAGCAGTCCGCAGTCGAACTTGAAGCGATGGCAGTTGTGGAAGTTTTCCGAAAATGGGAACAGTTTATACGATCTTATCCAACGTCGGTTCTCACTGATCAAAAAGCCATTGCTTTCATTTTCTCCCGTCAGAAGTCTCGTATCAAGAACGAGAAGTTGATCCGTTGGCGTTTGGAGCTATCTCAGTATAGGTATGAAATAAGTTACCGCCCTGGCTCTCAAAACCTTTCAGCCGATGCACTTTCAAGAATAGCTGTTGCTCAGGATTCTCAGATCGCATTGCTTCACAAATCGTTAGCACATCCAGGGATAAACAGTTTTTGGGAATACATTCAGAGGCATAAACTCGCCTTTTCTCTAGAAGAAGTAAAGAAATGTATTGACAGCTTCTCAACATGCAAAGAGTGCAACCACGGTTCTATAAACCAAGCGTTAGAAGTTCTGTTGTTCGAGCTAGTAAGCCGTTTGAACGTTTAGGTATTGATCTTGTTGGGCCAAAAACTCAATCTAGCAAGTCTGGTGCTGTGCACATGCTAACTGTCATTGACGAGTATAGTCGTTTTCCTTTCGCATTTCCCATTAAAGATACCAGCAGTAGTAGTGTCCTTGCATGTTTGCGCAATCTGTTCTCTTTGCTCGGAACTCCGGCATTTATCCATTCAGACAGAGGGCGACAATTCGTGTCCAGTGAATTCAATTCGTTCTGTCATGAAAACGGCATTTCTCATTCTTGTACAACTCCGTACCATCCTAGTGGAAATGGCCAAACTGAACGTTTCAACGGTACGATATGGACGGCAATTCGCTGCATTTTACACTCAACAACTTGGACTTGAAAAATGGGAAGATGTCCTTCCTCAAGCCCTAGCATCCATCCGAACGTTAGTATGTTCAGCTACCAACGAAACACCTCATTCACGTTTATTTCGCTTTGACAGACGTGGCAGTGCTGGTTTCTCATTTCCGTCTTGGTTATCATCAGGCCGCGACGCTTATTTGAAAAAGTTTGTCCGCAACAAGGACGATCCATTAGTGACTGATACAGTATCTACCGGAAGGACTGATACAGTATCTACTTCTTCGTTGGCCCCTGGAGTGGGTGTTCCTCCGGTACAAGATGAGTCACGTATGCCTGCTATTGGTTCTCAAGTCTCCGAACCTTTAGATCAACCGGTGGAAGTAGATGGTGAACAAATGGATATTAATGAGCCGAACCCTCCGAATGAAGTATCTGATACAAACACGTCTGAACCCACGGGAACGACGGGGGAATTCGATGAAACAATCAACAGTCAAAAAAACGTTGTGCGAGTACCAAGCGAGCAAGTTGGCCGAAGAACGAGTTGTCGGAATAGAAAACAAACTCAATTTTATGGCTCCACTGTTGGGAGCTCAGAGATAAATGAAGAACCCGAAGATGATGAAATTGTATGGCGTTATGAATGACTTTTCTTTTGGTGGGGATGAATGTTATATATTTGTTATATGTTAAAGTTGATTTCAGATATTGTTGAATAAAAGCTTAATAAAGAAGCGGCGTTTCCTCCAACAATTAGTTTACCGAGTGGTTTTACGAGGTTGAGTATGAATACCAAATATGTTTGTCGTGGCTTTATTAGTCTGTATGTAAAATTTCATAACAACAGACAATGTGGTCAACAAATTTACATGTAAAAATTTGCAGATGGGGGGGGGGAAGGAAAAAGAGCCTTTTCCGCCTGTGATTTGCTTTATTGTGTAACGCGTAATTTTACAAGGTTGATTATGAAGACCAAATATGATTTGTCCTAATCACTCCATATGCCAAATTTTTTTAAAATCCGACAATTTGAACAGAAAAATGACTCTAAAAATTTTGCAGGTGGGGGGGGAAAGGAAAAAGAGCCGCAAGTTTTTCCTCCTCTGATTCGCATGTTTTCCCACTGTGATTTTTTTGAGACATCATTTGTGGAATATGAGTGAACCACGGGGTAAAAATTGAAGTGGTCTCTGATTGGTTGAAATTTTTGCATGATTTTCGGATTGAAATAGCGGCTCTTTTTTCTTTTCCCGCACCTGCGAATTTTCAGAAGTAAATTTTCTGGCCGATTGTAGCAAAAATCTGCATGTGCACTAATTAGGCCATGAAAGGCATATTTGGCATGCATACTTAACCTTGTAAAACGCCTCGTTATGCATTAAAACAATGCTTATGTAAGGTGGACGGGAAGAAAAAAGAGTAGAATTAGAGAGCTAGAAAATGTTTGTATGCGTGGTTTTTTTCCAGCCCCCCTTCAAATTCAATTTTAAAAAGCTGATTTAACTATGCCATAGTGCCATGAAATTTGGCATGCTGAGCAACATGACAGCCATGAACAGATTTGTTCTTCATACTACACATCAAAACAACGCATTTAGCGTAATAATACGTTAAAAAAAACTCACAAATGGTTTTGAAAGGTGGGCTCTTTTTCCTCCCCCCCCCACCTGCAATTTTTTACATGCAAATTTGTTGACCACATTGTCCGATTGTTACAAAAATTTACATACAGACTAATAAGGCCACGACAAACATATTTGATCTTCATACTCAACCTCGTAAAACCACTCGTTACACTTATATTTTGAAGCCCGTGTGAGGTGGGGGGGAAAAGGAAAAAGAGCCGAAAGGTGGGAGTGAAACAGAGCCGTTTACTTAAGCGAGGGAGAAAACAAGTCAAAAATTGTTCGTCTGCTAATTTTCATGTAAAAAATCTTGTATATAACAAAACTGACCCAGATCATATAACAAGACCGACCCAGCTCTTGACTGAACAGTTGTCAAATCATTGTCCGCGAAAAACGAAGAAAAAAACAATCATCTTTGCATTGATAGCCAAAACAAACAAATGATGAGGAAACTAAATGTAAACAACCCACCCAGTGGAAATAGGAATAATTTTAAAAAAAGTGTAGAAATAACGTGATTAAGCGAGTCAGGGAAAGTAAATGCAGTTTGAGTGATAGAATGATCATGAAGAAAGAAAAACGATCTTGAAATTTTTGAATCTTTTAATAATTTCTGCGGAAGAAAGAAGCAATTCGCCTTCGACGTAATGAACACTTCGCTACAATTAACAGCAAAAATCGAATAAAACATTTACACGCCAGATTTTACTGCAAACGAGCTTACGTTTGTGCTACATGATACGATATCCTTAAAAACTAAATACTAGGACCAATAAACAACCAACTGGTCATGATGGGATCTGCAATAAAAAGCTTAAAACTTGTAGTCGTTTTCTAGCTGACCAATTAGCGTACATTTTCAATACATGCTCTCAGAAGAACACTTTCCCTGATTTTCTCAAAAATCAAAAAAAAAAACATTACCACTGCATAGAGATGGCGACAAAAAAGAACCCAATAACTATCGCCAATAAGCTTGTCTTCTGAGTAAACTCGATAAAAAGCTTCTTTTAAAAGGGTATTTAAATTTTCAGCTAAAAATATTTAACAAAATTCCATTTAGATTTTAAAACAATCATTCTTGTACACGTGCTTTTTTGTTCATCACAGAAAATATAAGGAAATCAATTGACAACAAAACACTAAATGATTTTTGCTTTATTACCTAAAGAAGGCATTTGGTACGTTGATCAGGATATTTTATTTGACAAGACTTTAAGTTATGGTTTTCGAGGGACATCTCGAAAACTAATAAGAAGCTATCTCAGAAAACGAAAAATAGTTTGTATATTCAGACAAATCGTTTTCTGATAAGCTAAAATGTATGAAAGGTGTTCCACAAGGCTCCTTACTGTTTTTTTTCTGTTTCTTTTATATATTAATGAAATGCCGTCAGCCAGCAGCTTTTATGTTACTTTGTTTGCTGATGATACTGCCTTAATTGAAGCTCAACAGATTGCTTCCAAATAGAAATTTCAATCAGACCTGCAAAAAGTTAGTGTAATAAGAACATCCTATTATTAAACTAATCGAAATGCAAAGTGATGATACTTGGTCGGGTTCGGAATGGTGAAAGTTCATCTTCTGGGAACTGTGTTATGGCTGATGTTTCAGATTTCAAATACCTAGGAAGACAGGTCGGCAACCGGATCAAATTTAAAATGTGATATAATTTGCGGTTAATCAGCTCAATTTAATGGATTGCTATTTACGGAGAGTCTTTTTCTCAAAACCTGTATTTGTGAAATTTGTACACCTGCAAAATCATATTTTTAAAGTTATTTGTTTCAAACGCAAAATTAATGATGCTTCCATTTATCCTAGATGCATATGACAGTTTCCGATTGATACATCAGATATATTTTTTTCAAATTTTAAATCAACTCAGAGGAAAAAGCCCGTTCAAAACTTTTAACTTGGATACACTAAAAAGCGGGGCAGTACAACAGTGCCGAAAACGAAAAAGTGTTCAACCGTGCCGAAAATTGATGATTTTCGGCACTTTTGAACACTTTTTCATTTTCGGCACTGTTGTACTTCGGCACTGTTGAACGCCCCCAAAAAGAGACGCATTTCTCGAGCTTCTACAACAAAAACTTTGCCTTACTCAGAAACAAGAACACAAATAATGCAGTGGCCATGGCAAAACATTTCCCTCAAATGCTACATTGCTTTGTAATTAAACGAGATGATAGTAGATGATTTGAAACAGGTAACTGAGCATCAACTACAGCAACATTTCAAGAACATGTACTCACTATACTTTAAAGATAACACCGATGTAATGGATTTTTTTATTCGCGCGGTTCAGGTCTGAGATTATCTTGAAACTTCTGTCTTAGATTTTTCAGGGTCACGCCTCGAAAAGCTGTATAGCTTTTTGCATGTTTTTGACAAGTTTTTCTGTACGAAGAGTTAAATTAACTTATTGTATATGTAAAACTCTCTCCCAAATATTATATTCAAATGTGTGAATCTGTTAACTTGTTCATGCTTCCATGTTTGTATACGAGTTAAATCATTAAAAGCCATTTGAAAGAAACTTCCGTTAATTTATTTTCGGAAAAATCAATGAGAGAATTGGTAATGAGACCAAAGATTAAACAACTCAATTGTTTCACTTTTACACCGTGGTTCACTCCTATATTATTACTGATATCTTCCTATTGTTAAAAAATTGCAAGCTGACAAATTAGGCAACGACAAAAACATTTGCTCCTCTTGTACAACCCCTTGTTGCAACATAAAATAGATGCTTATTGGTCAGAAAACTTTTACAAAATAGGGTCTTTCAGTGTTTTATGTCTTTTTTCCGAGCACCCACCACAATTTTTTTTTGTTACTTCGTGCATCCACCACAACTTCTCCCATTTGAAAATCGCCTCCCCGCGAAAACATCCTAGAACCGACCGTATATGTAAGTTCTGATTTTACAGGAATAAGTATGAAGGACTTTGCAATTCGCTATTTGCATTAGCGCCAATTCGGGAGTATTCTGGCAATGAGAACAAAAGTTCAGAAAATAGAGGGTGGGGAAGATACGCAACAGAACACTTATCACAAAGAGCCAAAGAAAACTATTTCAATGTTGATAACTGCTTAATCACTGATTCTGTCGATCAAAAAACAAATTAGTTCAGAGAGGCAAACTTAAAGTTTTCAAAATGGCCAAGTCCAAACGATCGATCAATTTTCGAATTTCAAAGAAAAAAATAGATGTCCTTAAAGCTCTTTGAATTTCGAGAACAATTTATGATTGACACTTTTTGATAAAATTAACCCAATTTGAGAAAATTGGACCACTTGGTAAGCTTTTTATTCCGCTTGGAAATCTGAAATTATAACCCACTTTTGAAACTAGAAATCGATCACATTTTTCCAGACCTTTTCGCTGTTCGAACGTTTTCCCTGCTCGATTAACAAAGGAAATGAACTGAACTTAAAAAGAAATCAAAAGTCAAACCGCGAGAAACTATATTTGAGCCTTAACTTTTTCTGAAAAAAAAACGAAAGAAAAATATCACTACCTATATAAGAGTCTGAACTACATTCATGGACTCTTCTAAAATTTGCCCTCATAAAGCAAGACAACGTTGAAGCGCTTCTTCACCCCACCTGCGGTACATCTCAAACATACCATGGCAAGCTAGCGGACAGAGAAAGAGACGAGACCCAATTAGTAGAAATTAGATCTCGATTTGTCTTTAATGAAGTTGACTTGGAGGCAAACGAACTAAAAAAGACAATTATCACTGTAAACTTAGCATTAAAACAAAAATTACGAAGTATTAACTAAGCCGAAAATTACTGAGCAGACATTCACTGACCCAAATATGTTGGAAAACATTTGAGCTATACTATTTTGAGACTAGAAGCATATCATACACAAGCAACATTGTTCTCTCCTCCAGTCATGCAATATGCGTTGATTACGCCGACATAAAAAAGACGAAACCTTATGAGCCGAAGAAATCTTTGAAGCAATATTAAACAGTCTGAAATTATACAATCAACATATGCAATAGTAGGTAAATTTACAAGAAACATAAGAAGCAAATTTCGAAAACCACGAACACTTAAAATGCATGCATTCTGAAACGAATTTTTTTAGATCCCAGGCCTAAGATGAGAAGAGTCCCGAGAACAACATTTTCAATTAAGAAAAGCCTTGTACCCGGTTGTAATATCCTTGCTAATCACAAGAGTGATCAGTGAGCCTCCAAACAAATTGATAGTCATTTTCTCTCATTTGAGATTTGAGGTAGGTGACTCAATTAAATACAGTATGTCAATAGAGATTTTTTAATGACTATACAAAGGGAATAGACCATACCATGCACCATTCATAAAAATTTACAAAATACCCAAACAGTCGCGATAATAGAGACAATTATGAATAGCAATACAAAATTTGGAATGTTAAATTCTATCCCTGATCAAATAATTGCACAGTCGTTTCAGCCTCGTCTTAAACCTTCACAACCAGCTTGAACATTGAAAACCTCGTTGCCGAGTGCTTCCAGTTCCTCTTTCAGAGCTTTGTATCCAATATCCGAATCAGCTGAAGGGTTCATGAATACGACAGCACACCCGCCTCCTCCAGCTCCCGTTAGTTTAGCTGCACATTTATACTTTTCGGCTAATTGGACAACTTCGTCTAGTTTTCTAGTCGATACTCTCAAATCTTGAAGCAACGCGTGGTTTTCCCGGATTAATTTGGATAGCTTGTAAAAAGATTCATCGCCCATTCGTACAGACGAAGATTCGCCAAGAACATTTGCGATAGCTTTACTGCATACATCTATTTTTGAAATGATTCTCTGAAAGTTCTCCGGCTCATCTTTCTTCAACTGGCCCACAATTTCAACGAGCACTTTCGTATTGCGTTCCTGGTTGGTATTAACAACCAACATTTCCAATGCTGGCATTTCGAGCAAGTTTTTAAATCCAAAGTTTTCGAAAACAATCGAATTTCCAAAACAACTAGCAAGTGTGTCAATTCCTGAAGGCTTGCCATGTACTATGTGCTCTGCTGCGAACGCTAATTTGTTCACACGATTCAGTTCGTCTTCGGACAAAATCTCATTTTCTCGTTTGCTTACAAATCCAAATGTGTCCAAAATACAAGCAGCTAGAACTGAAGTAACCGCGCCGGATGACCCGAGGCCTGCTCCAAGAGGAACTTCAGAAGTCATAATCAATGTCAAATCTTTCTCCAAAAACCCTTCGTTAATTAAATTTCCAGATTTGACCATTTCAGATAGCACAGAGAGCAGCACATGCATAAAGCACTGGCCCGCGAGTAAAAAAAACTTCTTCTGAGTATGTTTAGATACAAAGTCTGCTAATAGAGCAATCTGCGCTTTACTCGGTGGATCGAAAGCGCCGCTCGAGATCTCAACGTAACTCTCCAAGAGCTTCGCGATTTCCGCGTTTCTGAACACAAGCTTTTGGTCAAAGTGCGACTTAAATTCCAGATTAGTTGTCGCTTCTTCAGAAAATTCGCGACTGGTACTTGCAATGGTACAATGACAATTCAGATTAATAGCAGTTACTACAGCTAGTTTTCCATGGGCCACTGAATGTTCGCCTGTAACTATTATCTTCGCTGGTGCCGTGAATTTTGATGTCATTTTGAATTTCAGTCCCAACTTCCTGGTAAGATTGATGAAACGTTAGAATGATATTAACCTAATTGAGGAATGCAACACTTGCGCTTTTGCCATTGGTCGAAATTAAGCGCTATATCACAAACCGCAAACTTCCCAAGTTCTTTTTGAAGCGTTTCACTTGAAGGTCGTTTCTAAATATACCATCGAGATTAATTGGACCACAAAGATGATAATTAGGTTGACCATGTTTGCAGTTTGCTATAAACAATGACCTCTTTCCTGTCGATCATTCTCCATGTTGAGAGGATTTATATATATCTGGCTCATATTACTCTAAAACTGTGAATGCTTTAAATATAGAATTTGCACCTTTTAGGATATATACGTTCATGAATACCCACAAATTTCATCAATTCAACAAAAAGAGACATATAGACGCAAATATAGACAATCAATGTTAAATACAGAGGCAAAGTAGGCCATTCCAAAAACTAATAACAACAATTACACAGAGGCGACGTTGCGCTTCGCAACACTAGCGGAAAACGACAAAAACACAGCTATAAAATGCAATTCGAAAAATGGAAATAAGCCTCGAACTAGAAAAACTTTGTTAACTATCGGATTCGCACTCTGCGATTTCGAGATTTGAAGTCTCACGCCCTGCCCGCTCGACCACGAATGCTCAACGACCGAAACACTAGTCACGAATGAAGCAGCTACACATGCTAATAAACTGCCAATGCAATGCAGCAAAAGTGGCACCAAATACAAATAGACACAAAGAGGCATGTAATAATTTGGAATATAACAAGCTGAAGGCATCCACGCTAACTTTGCAGATGAAAAAATCGAAAGCATAAGGCCAAATTATGTAAAAAAAAAAGCATTTCAAAGATACTAGCGGGTAACGCAACTCCGATGCTTCAAACAGATTAATAACTGTGAAGCTGCATATATATTTAATTTTTGAAAACAAAACGAATTGAATGCAACTGTAACAAGACGGGAGCATCTAACAGCGCTTTTCTCATTTCAAAATAGGATCGAAAAATGAAACTTCAACTAAGTTTCTTTCAAAACTAAAATGGTAAAATCTCCAAAACTACTGGGTTTCAGATCTTCGTATTTTCAACTCAGAAACGAAATTTAACAATTTTTAACAATTTGCTTTAGAAAATTGTTTAAAATTGTTAAATAAGATTCTACCATTTTCGTTTTAAAAGAAACTTAGTTGAAATTATATTTTTCGATTCAATCGAGTCACTCAATTCATAAATGAGATTCTTATTTAACTTTGTTCTTTCTTTTCTTTATTAGTCTGTACTTATATCATTTGATGCCATCAATAGATAGATTTGCCGTTTTTAGTTTAAAAATAACAGACTTTTTCCTTAGGTTAAAGAAAATTTTTAATGAAATCGAATGTCATAGCACATGCTATCAAAAAGCTGTACAGGTGTCCCAGAAATGGGAGCAATATTTGCGACTCAGGGTTGAAAAAAATAATAGTCGTACTAGTACACTTCTTTCACTAAAATTCGCTAGTTTAAACTAGAAACTTTTTACGAAAAGAAACGAACTTAGAAAAAAAAGCAAACAGATTTAGCTACATGTATCGTACTGATTCTGCAAATAACCACCAACCAAAAACTTATTCAACAAAACCACACATTGCTAAGCGAGTTGAACGACAGGTCATTAAAAATTCTGCGGCTTGAAAAAATAAAAATTAAGATTTAGTTGCTATACCTTTGTGGTCGAAACCAAGCACCAGACAAATGAGCGACTAAATTTCAGAACTAAAAATATAGCTGAGAGAAAACAGAAGCAAAAAAAGACAAAAATAACCGATTTCAAGCACCTAGCACATAATTTCCTACTACTATCATCTCAGGCAGGAAATCACAAAGTAAGACAGATACTTTTCCGTTTTCTTTTAAAATTACTGTTATTTTTTCAGTTTTACGAAACTGAATTAGATGGAAAACTGCAGGAAAAAAAATGATAAAAAAATTTTCTGAAGTACGTAGAAAATCTAGTAAATTATACTTGTATGTCAGCCTCCGTTCGTTTCTTCTCTTCGGCTCTATATTACTTTGAAAATTAAAAAATGTCTAACAATTTTTGTTGACACAGAGGGAACGTTTTTGAAATCAAAACCACAACCAATTGGGTTTAAATAGGATACCAAAATTGACAACCTACGAGCTTTCTTTGGGATAGTCAAAATTTCAAAAAAAAACCATACCTAGCACAGAATTCCTTCGCGTCATTAGTGACGTGCTCGGAACAGCATTTGAAATTGATACCTCACCAATAATTTGAAAAATTGAATTTTCAAATGTTTTTTTTCCTCATTTTACCTACCAAAATTTATGCCGGTTCCTTGGTAAGTTAGTAGTAATGAATTGATATTAGATAAAATTACAAGCCTACAGATGGTTTAAAAACTTTCCAAAAACAGTGGCGAAGTGAGTGATTTATTAGTATACGCTTCCAATCCCAGCTGAAACAAACAATAAGGCTTCTTATCAAAACTGTCGAAAAAAATACTTCAGCTTCCTAATTGACACGCAACGCGAACGCGCATGCTGAAATCCTAATATAATGAAACTCTTATGACATGGAGGCACCAATTGTGATGCAAAAGTTAAGGATATGTTTAGACATAAAATAGAAAAACTCAAAAAGAAAACTAGTATCTTAAGTCCCAAGTCTATTTTCTTAAGGAACGTAGAAAAATCTACTGCACTGCTAAGAACTGAAAACTACCATCTTTTAAAACATTCGCTAAAACTACGCTATTATAAAGCAGATACAGTTAGAAAAAGCGACAGTGCTGCTTTAAACTATCCGGACAAAAGGAAAAAACTTTCAAATTGAGCGAGCGTTTCTCCCAAATTGGGTTGACTTGGGACCAAAAATGTGGAGACATAACTTGCTTAGAAATTTAGCAAAAAATATTATGGTGTAATTTACTTTGCGAAAATCGGGCCCAAAATTATACCCCAAAAACTTATTAATTTTTGGCTTTAAAAACTATCTAGTCAATCAAAGTCATAATTATATCACAGTGAGCTCTTACGCAGCCCAACAAAGTTCGAAAAGTTTATACTCTCCTAAAATTCAGCGCGTAACGCTTAAAAATTATTTCAAAATGAAAAAAGTAGGTGTGTATATAGTAAAACGACATTTTCTGTCTATGAACAAAAATAATTTATACAATGTTTTGGAGACTATACACTTTTAAAAGTTTGTTGGGCCCCGTAAGAGGCTCACTTTGAAATGATTATTGCAATGATTGACTAAGAGGTTTTGGCGTAATATTTAAATCATAAAAAAAACTAAAAATGATTCTGTTTGCAGTAAAACTTCAGGCCCGAATTTCGCAAGAACAAATTGCACCATATTAATTCTGCTAAAACTTAAGGCAAGTTATGCCTCCATCATTTTCTGTCCAGAGTCAACCCAATTTGGGAAAAAAAAGCTTTTCAAGTTGTATTAATTTGTCCGGATAATTAACATCAGCACTGTATCATGGAACAATAAAACCCATACCGAACAGAGCGGGAATGTTTCCTTAGAGCCAACTCAACAAAAAAAGGTATATTTACCTTCCATTTGAGTACAGTGCTGATTTAAATTAACCGGACAAAACGCGTTAAACTTGAAATTTAAAACGCGTTTTTCTCAAATTGGGTTGAGTTTAGGTGAAAACTTATGAAGACAAAACTTGCTTAGAATTTTCGCAGAATTATTATGGTGTAATTTGTTTTGCGAAATTCGGGTCCGAAATTTTACCCCAAAAATGGGTTATTTTGGCTTTTCTTAGTTAATCAAAAATTACGCCAAAAATACCCAGTCGATCACAGACATAATTATATCAAAGTGAGCCCCTTACGTAGCTCAACAAACTTTAAGAAGGGTATTTTCTCCAAAAAAATTGCATATTGTTTAAAAATTGTTTTCAAATAAAAAGTTGGTATTTTATATAGTAAAAATGACCTTTTTTGTCTATCAAACAAAAATAAATTAACTTATACAATATTTTGGAGATTATACCCTTCTTAAAAATTGTTGAGCTACGTGAGGGGCTCACTTTGATATAATTATGTCTGTGATCGACTGGGTATTTTTGGCGTAATTTTTGATTAACTAAGAAAAGCCAAAATGACCCATTTTTGGGGTAAAATTTCGGACCCGAATTTCGCAAAACAAATTACACTATATTAATTCTGCTAAAATTCTAAGCAAGTTTTGTCTTCATAAGTTTTCACCTAAACTCAACCCAATTTGAGAAAAATGCGTTTTAAATTTCAAGTTTATTGCGATTTGTCCGGTTAATTTAAATCAGCACGGTACTGTCAAGTACATATATATTGCCCTTTGCTGTGCAAACTTAAAACTCAATCTTACGGGGAAAACTTGATTAATTTGTCTTCATTTCTTGTCCAAATTTTTTAGTAAGCACGGGCCGATTATGTTTAGTTAAAACTACAAAAGGAGTGGCAATTATAGCCAAAAAACATCGTATTAAATTGCTTGTCATCAAAGTGGACGAGATTGCCCGGAACCACAATTTTCCACATCTGATTCAAATTTAAATAGTAAAGTTTGAAACATCAAGTTATAAGTATCTTTCAGATGGAAACTTCGTCAAAAATTGTTTCAATCTCCGTCAAAAAGACAGCTGTTTACAATTAGTCAGCGTCTTTTTTTAGCGGAAAATACATAAGCAGAAATTTCAAAAACATAACATTAGAAGAAAATTCAATGCAGTCGAGATAAACTGAAACGAAAACAAATCCGAAAAAATTGCGGGTTTTTTTTCCAAAAAAAAATTCAAAATACTTAATTAAAACCAAATATGAATCCCGTAGTCTAATTTGTAAATACCACGCTGTACTAAATAATATTGATAAATTCGCCAGTTGATCGATAAATTCGCCATTCTAACAGTTTAGCAGACTGACTAGCATCGTGACCAAGGTGATTTATTACAATAAGTGGCAGGTTTACTGGCAGGTCTTTTCAAAGCAAAAATTGTCCCCAGCGAAAATCGAACGCGTCAGATGTGTTGGCCACGATACTAGCCAGTCTGCAAAACTGCAAGAATAGAGAATTCATCTATCAACTCGGAATTCTTAATAATTGGCATTATTATACACAAAGCGAAGCTGAGCTTCGCATCACTTACGATACAAAACAAGAAAGCCGCCAAGTCGAAAGAAAAAATCGAAAATTTCGAAAAAAAAGATCTATCGATAAAGCTAGTTTCGAAACAAAAACGAGCCCAGACAATAAAATGTGAAACTAGCATCGAAAGAAAAGT